CAAATGAAGCGAAAATTTCTATGTTAGTAACTGTTATTCGTCCGCAGTCATTACTTTCAGCGGTTTTCCGGGGCATTGGATAATATTTTACCAAGTTCATAACAGATTCTACAGTAAACAGAGGCCACTCGTGCGTTCGACAGTAAAATTTTGTTTCCATGGCCATAAAAAATAACTCCTCTGCGCCCTGTGCTTAGAGTCGGAACTATTTCCTAGCAACACGCCGCGCATGCTCAACAAAGATTTTACTCGATTCATGCAAAGTCTTTCTCGAGTTCGCCAAAATCGAGCAACCGAATTGAAACTTAAAGGCTCTGCTGGCAGGGTCAGAAACTAACAAGGTAAGCGAGGTTCTCCACATCACAGGTGTCAGTATTATGAAATTAAAAAGTCGAGGTTGTTGACTTACTAAATCAGATGGAGTTTCATAAGGTAGTTCTAACTTTTATTACTGTCGACAAAATCCTATGGTGGTTATAATCAAATGAATCAACTTTGGTGACTTCAGTCAACTCTCTCTAAGACGAACACCTTTGGGGCCGGCACTAAGTGTCCGTCTTAGAGCGATGTCCGTCTTACAGAGAGTCAAAGAACAGGAGTGAAGAAAGGTAGGGACCAAATCCAGGTGGCCGTTTTATATACGAGGAAGCTTAGAGAGAGTCGACTGCCTTGTGTCCCAGCATTTTACAAAATGAAACCGGGAACATTTGCCTAATTTTTACTTCGCTTTTTTCTGGAATTGAGAAGGATAAAAATAGTAAAAATGTCATTAACATGAAAGGTGCCCGTATTGTAGAGGTGTCTAAAAAGGGATTAAAAACAATTACATCCCGTCATGTATTAGTCACTTAATCACTTTACAGTTTAATTGTTGTCCGTGTAGATGTTAAAACTGAAATCTGCCTCCCTCATAAAATAAAGTTATAATTACTTTTTTCCCCTTTCCTCCATTCTTTCCTTCCTTCCTTCGTTCCACGATAGGCTCCCCGAAATTATTTTTGCACGCACTCTGCGAAGACAGAGACTTAGAGAACGGAGCCGGTTGTTGAGCCTGATCAAAGGCTTCAACCCGAGACACACCAGAACTCCATTACCGCATACTCGAGCCGATCCTAACCCCCCCCCCTCAACCTCCTCTAAAAAGCTCATCCTTAGAGGGTAAACGATCTTTAATTTACAAATGATTTATCACAATTTGTTTTCCTTTTGTTTCGTTTCGTTCTATTCTTTCTCACCAAAAAATCTGTATTTCTTGGATTGGTACGCAGCTAAGTACATTGGTTTGATAATAGCCTGTTCCAGACTCCGAGGTGGTGGTGAAAAGTCGTTCAGTAAAAAGAAATGCGAAAAACGGGCGGGGCTTGGGAGAGAAAGGGCGGCGGAGCCTGTACGCATTTCTTCAACGGCCTGTTACTTTATATCAGCTCCTGATATATATTTGATGAGTGAGGGCTACCTTGAAAGCTGCTGGCAGACCTGGAAAGACCTATTTGTTGCTGCGGTGAAAGACAATATTCCAATCAGGCGATTAAGAAGTCGAAACCCCGTGCCCTGGCTCACAGGTGCCGTTATCAATCTTATCAAGAAAAAGGAAACGGTACGCAGGAAACTAAAATTGCACCCGTCGGAGTCACTAAAAGTCAAATCTCAAACTCTGCGTTCACAAGTAAAGCGCGCGATCAGAGAAAGCAGGGACGAGTTCTTTGATTCTGCTAACATCGAGTTCAAGATCAATCCCAAACGTCTCTGGTCAGTATTAAAAACTCGCGCAAAGTCGCGCAACATACCACAAAGTGTCTCCATGGCAACTGGTAACCTACGTGCAACCGCTGACACCCCAGAAGAAATCGCAGACATTTTTAATAACTATTTCACTTCAGTGTTCTGTGTTCCTCAAGAGGACAAAGTAGATAACGTCTCAGGGAAATTCCCTGCCGCAGAACCCATCTTTAGCGATATTGTGTTGCACGTCGGCGAAGTTGAGGCTGTCCTAAAATCCCTAGACCCAAACAAAGCCACTGGTCCAGATGAGATCCCGGCTAGAATCCTAAAGGAAACCGTCACTGCTATTGCTCCATCACTCTGGAAGCTGTTCAACAGGTCTCTGATGTCTCTGATGGCGCCGCTCTCCAACAAGATCTGGATAATCTGTCTTCATGGTCCGCTGCCTCTAGCCTAGCCTTCAGTGATAAGAAATGCAAGCTTCAGGCCATTACGAGGAAGGGCAAGCCCATCTGTACGAGCTACGAGGTTAACGGCAGTACCGTCAAGTCCCGTGCGGAAGAGCGTGACCTTGGCGTCTCCTTGGACTGTGACTTGACTTGGCACGCTCAAGTCTCTCACCAAGCTTCTTGCTCAAACAAGTTGTTAGGTTTCGTTAGGAGGAACTCTAGGTTTATCCACAGTACTTCCGTAAGGCGCACATTATACTTCGGGCTAGTTCGTGCTCATCTTGGCTACGTAACCCAGGTCTGGGCGCCCCAAGGCATTGAACTAATTTCTAAACTCGAAAGTATCCAAAGACGTGCCACCAAATTCATTCTTTGCTCGCCTTTTTTAACAAATATCTCTTACAAAGAAAAACTAATGTCTGTAAAAACCTACTTCCTGTGTGCTACGGGTACGAGTTAGTAGATCTAGTACACTTTTACAAGGCTACGCATAATATGATTCACTTAGATCCGTCTGTTGCTCTCTTCGCTCGCGAATGCGCGCGAAGGACCCGCATATCCGTAACGAGCTCTCAATCTTTTGTGCCTAAATAATGCAGGACTTCTATCTTTCAGAAATCTTTTTTCATTAGATCCACTAGAATCTGGAACCTGCTTACTACTAGACTTGACCTAGATAATGTTACTTTTGAGAACTTTAAATCTGTTCTTTACGGTTATTACTCGCGGGCTGTAGCAATAAACTATGACCCAGTCTCTCCAAGGAACTTCAAAAGCATTTGCTTGAAATGTAACACAGCCAGGTTTCTAGACCAAGAATTTAGCTGCTGCATGTGATTTAAATTGCTACGTTTATATCCTTTTATTTTTTGGGTCCGCGGTAATTGGCTTCAGCTGTTGCGGTGTCCCTACCCAAATATTTAAGTTATTATTAGTGTATTGTTACGTTCTTATCACTAGTGTTGGCATATCTTCAGTGTTTTTTTTTTGTATTCTTCTGGGTAAAGCTAATAAAATCAAATAAAAATATACCCTCTGATTGCTCAATTGTGACAGTTAACATCATCACCTAGTAGTGTGGTCATCAGTATGTCATGACCAAGATGGCCAACGCGAATCGCGTGTGTGATCTTGATGAATCCGCGTTGTCTTGTGTTTTGGACGAGTGTCTGCGTCTTGGCTCGCGGTAAAGATGTTTTCGCTATTATGCCCACCGGTTTCGGCAAAAGTTTAATATTTCAGCTATTCGCACGCTTGGCTAAAGCTACTCTAACCTTAGAAAACTCTACGATAATAGTCGTTTCGCCGCTGATATCTATAATGCGAGACCAAGAGGAAACACTGAAAAAGCTTGGATTTTCGGCCGCAGCTATTGGCATCGGTAAAGAGGGAGAGAAGGAGAGAAGAAAGCGAGAGAAGGAAAGTGCGAAATTGTTTTCGGTAGTCCGAAGTCCTGGTTGATCACAAAGTGGCAATAACAAAACAATCCAACGACTGTTAAGCTTATTCAAAAGCTATTACCAAGGGAGAAACTACGCCCTCCAGTCAAAAGGCTCACACTATTTTAAGAGAAACACTAAGCTGGAGTTTACTAGGTCACAATGCAATTCTCCTTCGTTGATGTAGCTTAAGTTTAAGCAGCACTTCATTCTTATAATTCTGGATCTGTAAATCACTACCCGTGATAATTTAACATTCTGCAAAGAAAACTAACCAGCTGGACCCATCGTGATACAACATTGTAGAAAAACATTACATTCACGGAGTAAAGAAAATCACTTAGTTAGCCAGATCCAGAAGGCACTTTGGAGAAAATTAAAACCCTTATTCAGCCGCAATGAAAAGCTTTACGCTTCAAAAGAGGTCAAAGAAAATGCTGTGTCATCAGAAGACAAATCATGCCGACCAGAAACAAAATCCACAGTAAATCGATATGTGTGTCATGACCTCTTAGTGTGAAACAAGCGGCTAAAATCACGTTTGCTCAGTGAAAATGTAGAACCTTCCCAGCATAACCTATGCAACTAAGGAAACAAATTACCGCACCCTTTTGTTACTAAGAAACCTGCAGAACTTTGAACTATCTAGTGCGAGATTCGCAGACGCTGTTGACGAATTCGTAGCCTGCGAACAGCAGACGTATTTCCGGTCGTCGCTTCGGCGGGTGAAACTAGAATCTAGAGCCGAAAAAACCAGATGCTCTCACAGGATAACCAATTCGAAGACCTAAATTTCCACACATTCGCACAAAGAGTTCGCGTCGCGCGAAATGCTCGCGTGAGAAACTTGAGAATGATTGTAGCTAACTGAAGTGTTAACAGTTTTGACAGCCGAACCCAGACGTGACAAAAATGGGCGGAAGAGGGTCGTTAAAGAAATGTTAACAGGCTCTCTCTCCCATTTTTCCGCAGCCACCGCCCCCTTTCCCAAGTCGCGCGCGTCTTAGTTTCGCTTTGCTCGTTTTAATGCTTCCCCACTATACTTATCAATTATTCCTCTCGCCCGAATGGGCTCTGAGTCAATAGCCCATGAGGGCGAGAGGAATAATTGTTTTAGTAAAATCCAACTAGTTGGTCCAAAGAATCTAGAAATAACAACTTTAGCAAGAAAAACGCGATTCAGCTGCCATTGTTTTGGTTTTCAAAGCCGGCCCTTTTCGCTACTAGTGGGCTAAACATATAGCCTAGTAGTGGCTCAACCAATCAGAACGCAGCTTTGCTAATAGACCACTAGTTGGATTTTACTAATATCGGAGAGCCTGACACGGGCTAGTTTGATAACAACAATTTAGATATGGATCTCTTCCACGTGTAGAACAAACTGTTTCCCGCGGTAATTTACCTTAGCAAGAACGCTGTTTTCGTATTGAAAGGCCAGGTAAGGGAACAGAGGTCTGCCCATGCTGTATTCAATATAAGGTGGGTTCTTATCTTCCGGAATTATCTTGCTTCCGTTTACACTAAAAACAACTGGAATATAGATTTGACCATCTATCTCTAGCTTGTCTTCAAACATGACAGTGCATCGAATGACGTCACCTCGGCGAGCTGCGGTAGAGCCTTATTATGGAAAAAACAAACAACAATAATTAAACTCCTTACCAACCATCAACTATCTTTACAAATCGAAGGGTTAAAAATCACCCTAGTAGACACTCTTAGTAATGCATCTGAAACATTACAACTTTTTTTTCAGTAAAAACTGTCGCGTGGGTTATTTAATGCGAAAATCAATAATATAAAATGAGCAAAAATAGGACGGACTCATCAAAAACTTTGACTGCGACTTTTCCTTTTCGTCAGCCTTCCGAGCTACACTCTTTAGGACTAACTTATTCATGTAACCCAAAATATTTTCAAGTGCAATAGTTATGCTTCCTTGAATCAGATTGTCTTCCATTGTTTCTCTCTAGTGTTTCGTACATTTTCCTGTCATCCAATGTAATACTTTGCCTTAGTAATCAAAATACAAAATGTAGATTACAAACCTATGGTCTTTCTCCCGTGAGAGCTCGCTAGTTTATCAAAAATTTTCCTGTCATCTGTGTGATATCCAACCGTTCCCTTGGTCCATCCAGGAAACAAGTTTGTGCCGTAATCGCCAAACACCACTCCTATCCCCAGCCATCGTGTTTCCCCACTTTCCAGAATCATCACCTTCAAAAGAAATAATTTTGCTTCTGAGCAAAATTTCAACATTGATAGGTCTGGCAGATCGAGTAACCAACCTCGGCGTGTCACCCCATGACGTAGCATGAAATGAGAGATTATATGGCCCTTAAAGCATTTTGTCGGCTGTATTTAAATGATGTCATCGTGAAAGAAGTGTATTCTTACCTCAAAATGTGGAAATCTGGGGGAAAATGGTTTCTTGTATCTAGCGCCATACCGGTAATCATCAGCCTTGCCTTCATAGGGCTGACGTGTTACAAAGTAACCGTCTACCAGTATAGCTTCATGGGCTTCCCACGCCTGCGAAGTCAACAAAAACGCCTTTCTTTAACCTCTGTGTTTATTTTATTATGATGATAAATAAAACGTTAGCTTGCATTTAAGTCTGTAAGGTTATAGCAGTCATGGCAAAGTTGACGTCAAGCTTCCTGAGTTCTTGAGTTTCCTGAGTGTTGGAAGCCCTTGAAGATAAGCCAGTGAGGCCGATCACATGCTGTCAAAAATAGACTACCATACCATGTATTTCGTTCCCTGCCTCTGAAAGGATTTGGAGACAGGGACTGCAGTTTATCGTCCTTATCCAAAAAAGACTTGAAAGTCTAACCACTTTAAGATGAGATTACAAAGGATTCACTTTCACCTCAGGTATTTATTAATAACACTTTTGTGACGGCCTTTCACTAATGGGAAAAATATTTTTTACCTAATTATATAGCTGTAAGCTAATCCGATATTGTCAGCAAAGCGATCACGATGGTCAGTTGCTAGGGCTTTTGCTCCCATTAGGTTCTTAAATTCAATTTCTGGCTTACAGAGGGGTAGTTTATATTTCAAATGAATCAAAACATTAGAACATCTTAATTGGAGAAAAGTTTTCTTTAAATTTTTACAATTGTAAAGGTATTTTTGACTTTTCGTGAAAGTATGACGTCATAAGTGACACCTATTTTTAGTAACAACGTTAAAAATTTGCAAAACAGTGTTCAAAATGTTACAAACATTTTTGTTACAGAAAAACAATATTTACAGTGAAAACCCCATCTCAATCGGATAAAATGGCGTGAGGTTACAGGTAATTAAGAAATTCAAATTTCCCGCCTCATGACCATATATGATCAAACTTTAGGGGTATTTTAACGCGAAAACAATGAATGTATTTACAACGGAAAAAAGACAAAGCTGCATAAAATCAAAATTGTAGTTTTTTGAATTCGGTATATGTGGTGCTATAACGCGTACTTCGTCACAAATTACGTCATTATGACGTCAAAATGACGTAATTCGTGACGAAATACGCGTCATAGACCATACATCCTAAACTCAAAAAACTACAATTTTGTTTTTATGCAAATTTGTCTTTTCTCCGTTGCGACTACCTTCATTGTTTTCGCGTTAAAATACCCCTAAAGTTTGACCATATATGGTCATTTGGCGGGAAATTTGAATTTCTTTAATCAAATGTAACTTTGCGCCTTTTCATCCGATTGAGATGGGGTTTTCACCAGAAATCATAGAATTCTATACAGAAAACTAATGTAAAAGTTTTACCATTTCTTTCCTGAATTTTCTTTCTGATGCCAAATTTGGACATCATTTATGACGTCATAATAGAAGTCACATGGGATGAAATAAAACCAATAAATAGGTAATTTATCAACTTACTTCCTTGCCAAGTTTTGTTACATTCGATGCATTCTACTTCTCTCTGTGGCCAAAAACTCTCAGTTTTGAGAGGTGTGGGAGCAAAAGCCCTAGCAACCGACCACCGTGGATTGTTCTTTAATTTTTACAAACTGTACAATTAAGGATTATTTTGGATAGTTTCAGATAGGACTTTCCTTTACAAATAGGCAAACTGTCCAATTTAAGAAAAAATCGGACAGCTGGTCTGAGGCGATCAAATGCTAGAAAATACAATAGACAATGCAAACTAGCTAATCAGCAAAAAATCCCTGTGACAGCGCGCCAAAAAAGTCTCCTTGGCTGACGGCGTTTCGTCGGCGAACACGTTTGGCTTCTTGTTGCAATGAATGTTGTTTTGTTTTGCTGCTGTTTCCAGGACAAAGTCTGCGGAAATCGTTTGATTTAATGAATAAAATGTTTACGTCAATAGTTTTCGTGTTTAAATTGAGCATTTGCGTTGTTGCTTTGTCTTCTTTGTACTCGAGATTGCAGTTTTCACAACACCGCATAATTGAAGGAGTTCTATAAAATTTTAAGCTTACACTTGACTACAAAATGCCAAAGTATGAAAGAGAAAGTACTAGTTCTACTTTTGCTCACTTGTAAAGAATAAGTTGACACTTTTTTCAGATCTTTCAGTGGCATTTTGTTTCAAGTACATACGGTTCGAGTGTACGCTAAAAAATCTGGATTAACTAACCAGCTATATAACTAATAAGTAAAAGGACTACATGCTTGTTCAATTTGGAATTAAATGAATTAAATTGGACTCTCGGCCACGACCTCGTCCAATTTTCGCTGTCCTCGGGATTTTTTTCATCCAGCTATTCCAAATTGGACAGCATGTAGTCCTATTACATACAAAAATTATCCTTTTTCCACCGGTTTTCCGCTGTAGGCAAGGAAATACCCTTAAATGGGGTTTACAACACTTTATTATGTCATACTTTACTGACGTAAGTTGACGTCCTTTCATTGTGCTTTTAGCACATGCGTAAATACAAACCAAATTTATTATTTTTTTTTTTCTAGGAAACCTTTTATACTTTTTTGGTATTATATTTTTTTGTTAGCTTTTTTGGACCTGACCTTGCACAATGTTCATAGCAAAATTTCCTATCATTTTGAACTTACTGACCAATACAAATATCGCATTAATTTTTTCAGTCGTAATTTGAAAACAAAAAAAAAAAAAAGATTTTTCAAGGGCGGGGAGCTTCCAACATAAACTACAGCACCGCTGTTTTCAAATTTGATATTTGCCGATTTTCATAACCAGTCTCCTCTACTAACTATAATTTGATACATTGCTCCTTTTTTTTCCTGTTTCATTTCTTCTCTTACCTAGTTTGCTACTTAGCTGATCGTTTTTCCTAGGGAGGTTTGCCCCGCCAACTGTCCAGGAAAGTGAGAAATTCAGTTTGCAAAGAGTAGTCAGTGAATTGTTTTGTTGTTGTTGTTGTTTTTGTTCGGTGTGTAACTCAAGCTGGATTGGTTATAATTTCCCAAGTGAGTTATTTGCGCAAAGATCGCTGCTTACCAACCTAATCACTTACACTACCTAGGCCTGTAGGGCAGGGAGGACGGGTGCGCTCGCACCCCTCCACCCCCCCTCCCAGGCGGCGCCAGGGGTCCACTTTTTTATTGATCAACGACTTAAAAAGAATGTGAAGAAGGAGTATTGGAGTATTGTTCTATTCTAATTTACTGATTGTGTAGTGAAATTGAAAACGCTGTAAAAGAGGACACAAGCCTGACCCCCCGCACCCTTTCCACAAAACGCGTTTTCGCTTCGTAAAGTGTAAAAAGGGGATTTGGTGTGCCTACGTACAAGGCATTTCTCCGTTGCTCAACAAAAAATCCCTGTAGGTTTTGTTTGCCATAGTTTTCTGCAAAGTTCTAGATCTGAATTGTTATTTTAACAGTCCGTGAGTGTGAGAATTCCCGTCAGCTTTGACACACTGAACCCAGCTCTTCTTATGTGGCTTGGAGGATATTAACACTCTTTTTAAAGCTGCACAACTCTTTATGGAGAAAAGGTTTTTTTTATGGCGACGTTCTTTGTTGTTGAAAGTATATGTTTCACCACACCATGTTAGTTTTAAATGTATTTCCAGCCATTTCAGAGGGCTTAAATTTAAAAATTTTCCCGGGAAGCATCTCCCCGGACCCTTCCCCCCTCCCATGCCAGGTGCCTCACGCTAACGCGTTCAAAGAGAGCCAGCCTAATTGCTACGCAATTCAATCTCAGACAACCAAAGCTCCCCCCACCCAGAGACTTACCCCTCAGGTCTCATTTGGTCCGTCTCCTCGTTGGATCGCACCTGCCCTGAAAAAAAACCTGGCTACGGGTCTGTTACCTTTGTTTGACAGTCAACAGAAGCTTCAGAACCGTGCTGCTCGTGTTCTAACCTTTTCTCGATATGATGCTGATGGCAACCGCTTATTTACACAACTTTATTGAAATGACTTGAGCACTCAGTTTCAAATACAAAAAGCCCTAATGGTTAGAAGTCTTTAAATGATCTTGTTCCAGGACATTTATCTTCTAAATTTGTTAAACGATATGAAACGCACTACTCCCTAAGAGACTCTGATAACAAACTAATTGTCTCGTTCCCGTGAACTACCTTCATGGAGAACAGCTTAGTTATAGCGGAACAGCCTGCGCTGTGATATGAGAGGCTAAATCTTTAAGTCAATTTAAACGATTGGCTCATCTGAATTTCTGTTTTTTTTAAGTACTGTGTACACGGCATTCATGAAAAACAGGTCTTTGTTAGGTTAGTTGTAGATAGTTTTGCACATTGTTAAGGGTAATTAGGTTTATTCAATTTTGTTTTACTCCTGATGATTTTTACTGTGTTTGAATAAATAATTAATTCTCTATTCTATTCTGTTCTAAACATAAGTCGTTGAGAAATGGGCAATCTGCATCGTTCTTGAGAAAATGGAATTGACCCAGACAGTTGTCAAAGGGTTAAAGACCTTAGTTGTGGTCCGGCCAAGGGTTGAGTCCACAGCATGCCACTAGGCAGATCGGAGCTCACCTAATTGCGTACGTTATCGCAATTCATGAGAAACATATCGAAATTTCCATTCCTAAGAACACTCATTCTCACGTGAGTTAAGGAATGGGGTTATGTGAAAAATGGTTAAAAATAGGAAAGAAAATTCTAAAAAATTTGAACTACTTTTTTGAGACTTTTCTTTTACGTAGACCGAAACAATTTCGGAAGCTTAATATTCAGAGTAAGTCACGTGACTTGACCGTTGCTTACAACGATATTTTGGGGCGATTTTGGTCCTCTTGTTTTGGCGGATGTTTAACGACAATTCATCCTGAATGAAATTCTGGGAAAAACATTAGAATATATTCTTTAAAAACTAAATAATTGCTAATTAATCAGGGAATTTGGAAAAGCATCCTCAATACCTTTTAATTTTTTCTTAATTTCCACTCCTTGTTACTTAGGTTAAAACGACAGCAATCCTAGTTCTAATTTAAAGAAAAACAGAAAAACCCGTTTAGATCCTAGTTTTTTATTAGAAGCTCTTGCTTTTGGAACGTAGAGAAATCACTTGTAGCCATGAGAAGATCCCGTATTCCTCCGACTTAATATTGTACTAAGTGACCGACTTGTCCGCTATATTTGAGCACACGGCTCAACGTCAGGGAGACTAAAACCGAGGATGTTGCCATAGCAACACGTTCATTTTCAAAATGGTGGACGATCTTGCAATGGACTGTGTTGCATAAGATTTGTAAGTTTTTCATTCTAACATTCGTTTTTTGTAAATTATATTCGCGATTCTATTGAATTAAAAGGATTTAGTTACAGTAGAGATGTTATTTTGTCTCTGTGCGTTTTACATTTTGTCTTAACAGTAAATAAGATGCGAGGTTTTTATTTCGATCCCTCTTTGTTCGTTGTTATAAATCAATTCCGTTTTCCTCGAGAATGTGCGCCTAAATTTTTGTGCTTTGGCTCTAATAACAACGATTGTCTATAAATAAGATATCATGTTTCTATTCTAAATTATACTCGCAGATTTGGCGCGATTTTTAGATTTGCATGTTGGGTTCAATCGCAAGGTGTAGTTTCCGAAGTTCTTCATTGAAAATTTTTTCCACTGTTCTAAACCAACTTAAGTGCCTATAAATCGCAAGAATTCAAAAAATTACCATCGCTACAGAGAGAATCAGTTCCTAACAAGGAAAAAAATTGGCTCAAATCGTCGATGTAATGGCGGGATTTTTTAACTGTGGCTTGTCGAGTGTGGCAGCAAAGAACAGTATGTTGGACAAGAATAGAAAAGTTATTCGTGACAAAGGCATTCGTCTACAGAAGTTTTTGAGTACATTTTCAGACAATAAAGAGACATTTGCTGTTACTCAGAAGATTTTTGACCAGAGACTACCTGTGTTGCTGAAAAACTTTGATAAATGTCGGGGAGAAGACGAAGCAAAATACTTGACGCATTTTAGTCCTACAGCGTAGAAGTCTCTTTAACAGTAAAGAGAGGATTGCACACAATATCTAATTGCAATGCATGTGCGGTTAATCATGTGCGTGTGCAGTCACTATTCCAGTTGAAGTCTAACCGACTTAAGGTGAACAACCTGATGTCTGCATGTGCAAAGGAAGTGACAATCTTACAAAAGAAAACTGCGAAAGTTGTAAAACCTACTAAAGGAACTATTCAGGATACTGCAAAGCAGATATATTTCAAAATAAACGAACCATTTAAGAGTGAGTCTCTACAACGTGAACCTCGCTGAAGCCTTAACAAAAGTACCTGAAATTGGTGTAACACAATCAAAAACTAAGGCGCAAAAACAAAAAAAAGAAGGGAAACTTTAAGGTCTATCAAACGCAAAACAGAAGACCAGTGGTCTAAGGTTGACTGTGACACAATGCAGGGAACGCGGAAAGCATACAAGCAGAGAGAGCTCCAAAGAAAATCTCTCTACTTCGAGTCCTTCCATGAGGCAAGCGTTCGAACTTTGAAGAGGAAGGCACTTAAGGAGGCTGGTCTGCGCAAAAAGAAGCGTCATTCTCCTGATCCAGCGTCAATTGACTTTGACAAGGAGGGCCTCCTGCAAGAAGTAAATTCAATGAAAGAAGGTGAAAAGGTGAGAATGTTAGTTGTGATGAGGCATAATCAAGTGATTATTTTGTAGATAACGTTAATCACTCGGTTCTGCTTAAAACAGAAAAACAAAAGCAGATGTCTTTGTTTGATGAGCACTTTATGGCACCATTTATTTTTAATTAGAAAACTGAGGGATAGACAAGAATGCTAAATCTTCCACATACTTTTCAGATCAATTATTCAGAACTGTCCAGGAAGTATGGAGCAGCAGAGAAAAGTAAGATGGGAAACATGGTGGTGAAAGAGTTCAAACTAAAGGGGTGGATGTGGCAAAGTTTACAGGTCCAAGAAAAAATGCTCAGCCTGTGACAAGAAGACTCCTCAACAGAATGTTTGGTGGTGAAATCACAACACCTATCCCCCGTACCAATGCTGCCCTACGAAAAACCTTGAGGGCCAAGATTAGGACTGGAGAATATCGCTTAGGAGAGATCATTGCACCAAAACGCTACAAGAAGTTAATGCTAAAGCCTGACGGTACATTAAAAACAGGGTATTTCACAGTTAGCGGAAGGAAGATACCTTTGCTTGAGATTCTTAAAGCGCTTTTGGAGGAGCATGAGAAGGAAGATCTTGTCAGAGACCACTCAGATGCCCACTACAATTGCGTGAGTGCAGATGACATAAAAAAAGTCGCTTAAGGGAGCTTGGAGAGCTAAAAATAGATGGACTAAGGGAGGAGTTATTAAAGGTATTAAAGTGACATGAATGCACAAGACATCTCATGATCTCGTCAGAACATTCCAGCATTATGAACCATGGCTACCTTCTGCTAACTGTAAATGCAATCTATGATCCTGCATTCTACTACACTTCTGAAGAGCTCCATGGAAAGAATGTTCAGGAGTTAGTAGAGAAGCTTCACATTTACATCATGGCTAGATGTAGGGACACCACTGAAGATCAGCTTTTATACAGTGAAATTAGGCTGGGAGATATAAATGAGCTTGAAAATCAACTTTGTCCTCCCAAAAGGTCTCCATTAAGGACATATGCAGGTTCTTTCATCGGGATCATCTTTCGTAAGAGGTAGAAAGTGGAGAGCAGATTGCTGGTGGCTTTGGGTGCTGTGATGCCCTGGGGCATCAGCCAGGTATATTGATCATGTGGGTTCACTGAGGGCACCACACATTACCTTCAAAGAAAGAAGGAGAAAGGTACTGAAAGGCCCAGCTGGAAAAGAAAGAAGAAATTGTGGAGTGCATCCTTTCAAAAACATGAGCAAATAAGAGCCGATAAGAGAGTGCAAGGGGCGGCACTTACCGGTTGATGGTTAGCTAAAACCTGCAATAAACACAATACTTCAATTTCGTCTACCGTGGAAAATAATTTGCTTGAAAAGCCTACCATTCTCTCTTTTATGTGTGAATTCGACCGGGAATTTATCCGGCTATTAAAAACTGCGATGCGTCAGTGTGGACATCGCAAAATAAACCAGGTGAGTGTGATTTCGTTTATAATTATTATTGTAGAAGCTAATAACGATTTTCGATAAACCATTATTCATAATTTTTACCTGTTAAACTAAAAACCAAGCCACAGAAAGTGCAGTAAAGTGTACTTCTTTTTTAAGAGGGAATCCGTAGTTTTACTAACTTTAATCATTGTTGCTTTATATAAAATTGCAAGACTGAAACTTGGAATGCGGCTTTATTGCATTCATAAACTGTGGTAATGAGATACAAGAGACCTTTATATGTGGAACTTAGTCCAGACTCTTAGACTTGTTGGAGGCTACGCAAAATACGCATGCGCAGTACCAACGTGCGTCAAAAACGTTTTAAAAACGTTTTGGAAGCGAATGGTTACTTAAGCGGACATGTGGGAGAAATGATTACGCATGCGTAATAACGAAACGAAAGCTTCTTTAACTTTCAATGACAGAGAAGTATTCTATCGAATCCTTTAGTTCAAGCAGGTAGCCTGGCTCAAGTCCTATATTGACCTTAACACATTTCATTGTTATGGAGAAGAAAGAAAAGAATGTCATTGATCAGTTTACGAAAATCCTTCATGCTGTGGATTTTTATTCTCTACAAGGCAAATACAAACTACGTTTAAAAAGATTATTGAGTTCCAATAAAGCATCCGGGTAATCGTAAATGTTCCTTACACCCACTATGGAGGTTCTTGACAGAAACGTAGGTGCAGCAAATTGTTCCTCTGACATTTGATCACACGCATAAAACAAATCTTGATCTAGATGATACCACAACCATATGTTTCTTTCCACATCAAAGACATATAGTATCTTTCGCAACAGTTTAGCAAATTCCAATGCCCAACCTGTTCCCCCATGCAGCATATTACTGTTGGATTGAAAACAACCAAACGCCAAAGTCATGACTTAATTCTTCACCACATGATAGTTGCGATGAATTTATTGCAAACTGATCGAATTTTCCAGTTGTTTATAGAGACGGAAGGCAGATTGTCGGGTGGCGGGGATAACTTCAGCGAGAGTGGTATGAGACAATGGTGGAAGAGACTTGCTTCTTGGATGAGAAGGTGGAATAAGAACGTTTACTTGTAATCCATGATATCTAGCAATCTTTTCAGCTTCTAAATCCACACCCAAAGCACCTCCAGTCACAATCGTAAACGTGGTCGATCGCAACATGATTCAAGTGGAAAGAAGTCTATTCTTCAAAGCCTTTATAAGCGAAATGACATCATCAGGCATGTTTGGGCAAGCTGGTTTCCAAGGTTAAACAAAACATTCTATCTGGTAACTTTCCCCTTGGGTCTTCTCCACAGAGTACAAGTAATGGCTTTTTTGGTGAGATTTTCATAAATGTCTTGGTTGAGACAACACAGTTTGTAATGGAGTTGATTAAAAGTTAAATTGTAATCAGTAATGCCTTAAGTTATCACCATTTCAAGAATAAATCTTACGAGCGAGTAAGCTTGTTCGAAATTTCAGCTTGCAGCGACACTTGGGTTGCTAACCCGTCGGACGTGGGAACAGAGAGAAGACGTGGAATTGATCGAGAGTGGAGGCAGACGAGGGCATGCTGTACACTATATGTATGTATTTGAAATGAAGAAAGTAATAGGAACCTGTCCGTGGGGTTTTCCCACGAAGTTTATTTTCGTGTACTAATCGCACAACACGAAAATCTCTGTCAAGTTCCAAATCATTTCAGGTTATCCCTTTTCGTGGGGATATTACCAACAAAAACGTGGCTTTTATGCCTATTAAACCCTGCAGAATGTTGTAGGTAAACAACAAATGGCTCTTTTAGGAACCAACATAAATGTAAAAGTCATAACCATTTTTAGTCCCTAGATTAACAGACTTAAACAAATTATTACTTTAATCCCTCTTAAGAACCACTTGACGTCAATCACTTTATTGTTTATATTCAAATAGTTCGTAAAGTCACTGACGGTCAAAAGTCATTTCACAAAGTCAGTGGTCAGCGAACACAACGAACTCTCTTCAGACACTTGTTTTGAAAGCTGTTCCCAACCCTGGTGTGCAAGCAGACACTTACTTACCTCCCTGGCATCCCATAGCACAAGACTTATATGCAGAAGACTACAAACGCCTTCGAGATGTTTACCGAAAGCAGCATCGCGTGAAGTTTAAATAATTTGTACCAAGGATCAAACTCAGCAAAACCCCAAGAAGTATGCGTAAAGTATTTCTATGCTGTGAAAGATATCAAAACCCCTGCAAGTATTTCCAGTAGATTCATCAACCGCTGAAACCGACCTCTCTTCCCAAGAGTGCTACAACATCAGCTATTGAAAAGCGGCTAAATGACATGGTGAAAGAGATGAACACAAAGCGGCAGAAAACAAAGCAAGAACCAGTAGGAGGCTTTACTTTTCCATAAGTAAACACGATTGAACCAAACATTACGTGTTTGTTTATGAGTACGGTTGGGGCGGAGCGGACTTGCCTCAACATGTACATGTCTCTCTCCTTGGGGAATTGAAATGACGTTAATGCAAAAAAGTCTCTATAAAAAACAGTTTGATTTCAGTCATTTTACCTTCCACTCGAAAGACATCAAGATGATCGGTGCTGCGTTTTTTCAAGATACCAACCCTCTTCTATCACATTTTCTAGTAACAGGGGGAGAGAAAAGACAAATCAAAAGCGGTACTTGGGGTACTCGAGGTCAGACATGTCCCCGCTATTATGGAAAACTCGAAGGTAAAGTAAAAGTCTATTATGCCCTCAAAGATGAGATGAATCCTGAACTTCGTGCGCAATGGGGAGCCATTCGATGTCACTGTAACTTCATTTCCAAGATGCGGCTCAGTAAACAGCTAGAAACATGAACAAAGTGTTTTTAACTTGTGGTGCCAGAAGACCATGCCAGTATTTTCAATGGATTCATACACCACCATATCCAGAACCCTCTCAACCTGTACCTGAATGGTTAAAGAGATTGACAGCAACTCTTGATGAGAATCGTCGGGCCTTCAAACAGAGACGCCTGAAATCTGTGAACCTCTCACCAAACAATGAATCCTTTTACAGAAAATACACCAGTATCAGCAACCATATGATACCTTCCATTGAGTCAACACCTATAAGTCCCAACCACGAATCCTTTTACAGAAAGGATACATATGTGAGCAACCATATGATTCCTGAAGAGCAGAGGCTGAAACAATTTGGCGAAAAAGCCAAAAAGCAGAAAGAGGAGCAAGACAAAGATTTTCGACTTCCCAGTAAGTTTGCTTGGACTCCAGAAATTGCCGAGTATTATAAGAAGAAAGAAGAAGCCAAAAAGTTTTATGTCAACAAGAAGCAAGAAGAACCTGAAAAGCAGAGACAAATTCATTTTTTGTGGAGGCCATAAAGTGCTGAACCTTAGACGTTTGAGAAAAACGAAGCTAAAAAGAAGCCCAACTGGCTGCCAGAGAAAGAAGCGAGTTTGGTAGCGTATCAAAAACGCTTAATGGAACGTTTAAAGAACGATGCCTATGAGCTAAAACCGATCAACTTTTAAGTCAATAAAACTCATTTGACAAACTAAACTTGTGTGGTATTCCTTTGGGGTTAGGGTTAGTATGCGACAGAATACACTTGTTTTGTCAAGTTCGATGTCGAAGCAGCCCCTTCTGAATCCGATACCCCTCCAACGGGACCAGGTAGCTTAACATGTTGAAACCTAATGCGAAGATGAAAACAATGAATTCTTGATTCTTGCAAATGGACCAATCAAAGCACCTCTGCTTATTGGTTTATTCCGAGGCTCTAATGTTCTCTTTCACAGGAGAAAACAACATTCTACAGACAATAATTACCACATGAGCAGCAACAAGAATGCGGAACGAAGTGGAAAGTCCAAATGTGTTGAACATCCACTGTAAACTAGGGCTTAGTATCAATATACCAAGGGACCCGCCAAAAGTGATTATGCCAGTAGCAAGAGACAGACGCTTCTAATTCTTGAAGTGCTGAGGGACGATCAAGAACGCAGGAAAGTAACTAAAGGACAATCCAATAACCCAAAGTACTCCGTGAGTGAAATAAAGATGAAGGATACTGGTGTAGAATGAGCACAGGGCCATAGCAAGGATACACGTCAAACCCCCGGATATCGTCACAACTCGGCAACCAAACCGCTCACTTAGTGACGTGCTCAAAGGAGCAGAGAACTACAAGACGGAAGACGTTAGAGAGCTGACCCATGCTGATGATGAACAAGAAAATAATTTAAGGCTAAATAATAGTAAATTATGAAAATTGTGATTTCAAAACATGTGAAAAACTCTTATTATTACATTACTTTAAAGCGTGAAATGGCATCTGACCAATGAGCCTGTTCAGCTGCCAACTTATAAGAAAAAGATGACCTTTACGTGAACTCAAACATTACAATCATAATAGCATAACAGGCTTATCCTCTGTATTTGGCAAGGAGTTACAACAGTCTTACATTACCTATAACTGGAGTACTGATCAGAAGTTTATAAAGGATAATGAATGCAAACAAATGATTATTATAAAAATACAGAAAAAAACTGACTATTTTCCAGAGGATTGACTGTAAAGGTCTGTAAAGCTCCGCTCCTCGCACGATGAACTTTTAAAAAATAAAGACCGGTGCCTCTTTGTATACAAAACGCGGCACACTTGCACTACCCATCTGGCGGGGACTAAAACAGTACGTATGTCCTAACTGGGTCTATGAAGCGCTTAAAGGGATGTCTATTTGTGATTCAGCAAATACCACAGCTTATACCGTAAAGGCTGAGGAAATCCTACAAAATCAGTCCGCTCTCTCGAGTGCAAATGGAAGTTTTGGCGAAAAACGCCGTTTGGAGTTATCCAATGAAGCCGTTTTCTGGTCTTTATTTGGCGGAAAACAACGGAAACTATTTTTAAAAAATTATTTAATTAAAATTTCGAGAAGACTTTCACAGCCGCTTTGGCCAGCATTCCTTCTGCTGTTGGAAAGTTGGGCTATGATGCCGTGTCTAGTTTTTTAGAACGCTCGCAAAAACTTCAAGTCTGAAATCTCCTACTCGTACTCGCTCTCGTCCTGAAATTTAAAGCTCTCTAATATTAATCCAACATGACGCGTGTTTCAAAGTTACACCGGCATGCTGAAATCTGCCACAGAGACAACATCAAGTTAAACGATGAGACTCTTATTAATAGTTCTACGCCCACGAAAACTCTTGATTGCTGCAATAAAAGAAAACACAATGTTATATTTGAACTACACACTGGAAAAAATTGTGAAAATCAGACTGAAGATTGACAGACAGTTGGTTATGAGGAGGACTTCATCGAGGATAAAATCAAGTCGAAAATACAGGGAAGACTCCGGCCTAGTTACAAAATGTGGATTTTTTTCGGAACTTTTAGAGCTTTACAGGATTTTTCAAAAATGACGGAGTCTATGGGAGTTTATGGAAGAGATTTTTATCAATTTTAATATTAATTTTTTGTTGATATGTTGCACAGAAGACTACACCTGCACGGCTGAACAACTTTCGCACCGTTAATTGGCACCAAAGGTCATTTATTCGAGTTTTGCTTCGTCTCAGCTAAGAAGCGTATTGTATATGAATAGGTGTTACAAGCTCTGCTTACTGTAGGACTCGTCATAGCTAAGTCGCGTCTTACTTTAAATGAGACGTGCCATTTGTACGCAAGGTTCACGTCCTGGTCTTTTGGTACATCCTACATATCGGGAAACGAACCTTTGCAGTCACAGTGACCAAGAACGCAAGTTGAGGGGGACCTGGTGCACGCGGAAGCTGGTACGTGCTGCAGAGAAAGACTATACGATCCTGAAAATCCATGAAGTGTGGCACTTTCTAGCCGAGAATCAAGTGACGGGGCTGTTCGCTGATTGTGTCAATATTTGGCTTAAAATTAAGCAAGAGTCCGCGGGATGGCCCGAGCATTCCACGATACCCGAAAGCAAGGCAGAGTATATCCAACAGTACAAAGAACCAGAAGGCATCCACTTGGAGAACGTACATAGAAAAACCCTGGACGGAAAGCCATTGCCAAATTGATGTTGCACTGCATGTTAGAAAGTTACGTTGCAGTAAAACACTGCATGTTACAAATTTACGTTGCAGTGTAACACCAACATCCCTCGACTGCAAATGGTGTTTCAAAATTAGAGGGAAATGTGTGGAAAAAGTGCGAAAAAGTCTGCATGTTCAATTTTAAAGTTGCAGTAAAACACTGCATTTTAATTGAATTGAACGACACCGTACTTGACATAGGGGTATGCAAATGATGTTTCATTCACTTGTTGGTTTTGTCTCGTGCTTGAACTCACATTTTTACTATATCTCTTTTGGGGAAAATTTGGAGAGCGTCCAAATAAACTGCGCACCCGCACCCTTCAGTCACCTGCCGCCCTCCATGCCTTGTTGGATGACGAGACCACAGTGATTAAAATGTTGCGTATTGTCAGTAAAGAAATTCTTGAAGCAGTTACCGTCGATGTCGATGACAATGCCAAGAAAGGGACCAGAACTAATATCTTTATTGCAAGTTTCACAATCTGCAACGCACATCTCAAGCTTTGCGATGCCCTAGATGTACTCAAGGCACAAGTGTTGTATTACGACACCGACAGCGTTATTTACAGATGGAAACCGGGACTTCCTGAAATTCCGACCGGTGTCTTCATTGGAGAAATGACTGGTGAGACAGATGAAGACATGATCTTGGACTTTGCGCGTGGAGGCGCAAAAAATTATGGTTACGGTACGCAGGGAGGGAAAGTCGAGTGCAAGGTTCGTGGGTTCACGCTCAATGTCCGTGGAGCCGCGTTATTGAATTTTCAAAATTTGAAGACTAACATTTTGGCAGAGTTGGAAGATCCTAAAGAAGAATGACGTAATTTGCTGCGTACAGATCCTAATTTCTTTGATCGGGATGTTACGAACAAGCGTATACAACTTACCAAACGAAACAAAAAATATGGACTTGTCTTTGACAAACGGGTCATGGACGTTTCTACTAAGAAACCGTATCCGTACGGGTATTCCCGTATTGGTCCAGAAATATATATATTATTAGAATTGTAAGTTAGTGATTGAGTCATGTATATAGGGCAAACACCACCAGTTGTTTACATGTCCCACAGCGTAAATAAGTACGGAAGGTGAGGTTTGCATGGTGGCACCCACCTCCCTTTCAATAAATATTGGCAGATGTTAAATCAGTGTGTTTGTTTCATCACGGGTTAGTGAGGGTATAAAAGGAGAATCTTTAGAACCTAAGACATCATTTCACGATGAATGAATTTTACATCACATTACCCATTGATTCCAGTTTGGAATTTACAGACAACCAAGCCAATCATTTTAAAGTCCGTTTACCCCAACAGATTCCTTTAGACAGAGAAGGATGGAAAGTCGCCATAGCCTCAACCTCCCTCCCTCGAATGTCTTTGTTTCAAGAGTTGCATGGCACAAAAAAGTTTAATCGAAATGTATTATGATACAGCTGGTAAGGGGCGAGGTTCGACGTGGGTGAAAGGGACGGACATTGAAAAATGGGAACAACAAGAATGTTGATTGGTCAATACGACTGGAGGTTTATTCAGTTGAATAGTGCTTTCCAAAAGAGTCTAAACCTCATCCCCAGACCCCTCTTTGTCTATTCTAATCTTGGAAAAAGTTCTGGGGTCGGAGATACAATGACAGACATCTTGGGAGAAGTCTATTATTCATCCACTTAACTGCAAGAGAGTTACCTTGATCCCAAGCAAGAACGATTTCATAAAGTCAGAAAAAAGGAACTGCGCTTCATTAACTGCAAATCACTGAAACGAGTGGACAAATTGTAAACTTTAAAAAGGGTAGTAAAAGTATTGTGACATTACACTTTGCCCAATTTCTCCTCAAGAAAACTAAAATGTAACATGAGATCAGTGAATAAACACAACACAACACGAGCTTTTATTGACTTTTTAAGATTAAAAACATTACAACTTGAGACGTTTTTTAGCTTGCATGATTTTCTTCACCGTTTTTTTCCGTTAAGGTTTTCTTTCCCGGCAATCGGTCAATGGACCTAATAATCTCCTCATCGGCTAACCACTTGTCTTTTAAATTCTTGGCATGGCTGTAAGTAATATCGTGGGTCTTGGCAATTCGGTCGAGCCGGTTTTTCCTAGGATCCCCTCGAGCCAGACGTTTTGACAATTTCGTGCCAGGGCCAGCATACTGATATCCTCCAGGAATATGAAATTCAATGCCCGTTTTACTCAAGGCCTTCTGGATATCAAGCTCTCCGTTTTCTTCGGGTTGTCTTCTTACGTCCAATCTTTGCCATCGAGTTTACGTTGAACAGGGGTTCCAAAAGGTTTCCAACCAGGGGCAGTTTCCAACTTTTTCACAATGCCTTTTTTATTGTGTTTCAATCCTGCTTTCGCTAATGTTTTTCGCGATTGTCGTGCAATCCGTTTGATGGCAGACTGCGTTCTTTCTGCAGCTGTATCCCAAGGATGTTCCCCAACGGTGTCAGAAAAAGGTAGTTCTGTGGCTAATTCTTTCGATGTCCTTTCAGGCGTCTGAAATGTAAGTTTTCTCTTCTTTTTATTGCTCGAAGACTGTTTGTGCGTTTTTGGAGGCTGGAGTAGCAGGGGTTGCTTGTCTTTTTATAATTTTCTGAGTCTTGACAAGTTGTGTCAATAAATTATGCATGGGTCCTCTGGCTAAATTGGTCATATCATCCTCTTCCTCAACTTCCACCTCATCCCCTTCTACACTCCATATACCACCGGGCTGTCGTACACGTTTAATCCATTGTCTTAATTGTCTTCCCACGGCTTTCAGACGAGGTTCTTTCCATGTCTCGGGCGCTTCACTTTCCAATAACAAATGTTGGGTGGCTGCTAAATCAGCTGCTTTTGTCAATCGACTGTCATCAAGTAAATCTGATTTGTATTGACCTCGTAAACACAAAAATTGAACAGAATCTTTCACAAGTGTACTCGTGATTCTCTCCATCTTACTTTGTTTCTACGTCTCAAGTCACCACTACTTATACTTGTTTGAACAGAGTAGGAAATTTTTCGCTGAGTTGTCGTTTCAACTCTTTTTCCATATTCTTTAAAATCTGTACCACGGACAGAATTCCTTGTACGATGCAAAGTAGTCCATCCTTCATCTCAACTACTCAACTGTTTTTACCCAATCCATCAATGAACTAGTATTTATACTCTCGTTGACTGAAATGATAGCAGCATCTCAATTCCTGCCACACACTTCCTCCTAATTGATGCATCATGAGACCACGAAGTCTTTTAATACTTTGTCGGGAGTTGGCTATCAAACGAAGTTCTTTCACATTAGGTCGCAGTTTGGCTAAGGTGTGTCTCCCCTTAGAAACCGCGCCTTTAACGTATTCATGACCAGTTCACTCACTGCATTGTTTTGATCCGTATTCGCATACCTTGACCGTTGCTTACGTTGGTGAGCACTCGCCTCATTCAAGACACTTTTTAAAAAGTGCGCTTGACGTGACATACGTCCTTCCATCTTGAATATGTTTAGACATGGGTAGCGTGTGGTTAATTTTATACTAAGGACGTCTACGTGAGGCAGCATCAATGGCCTTTTTAGCTCCATACCCTGCAGCGGCACTGACTCCTCCAAGAGCTGCGGCTTTCCCTGCTGCTGCTGAAGCAGGAAGAGCGAGGGCTAACAGAGAAAAATAAACCCTTTCCGTCTTTTTACTCTAGCTCTATGTCTTCTACCTTTTGAGGTACGTGATACATGTCGTCTTTTTCCCATGGAGATTGAATTATGCTCCAATTTTTCTAAACAGACGTCTATTTATAGCCCCATCTTCATCAAACGTATGAACTTGAGATGTTCCTTCTCTCTTGGTTAAATGACTCCATATTCGATAACGATCATCCGAGGCAGGATGTAAATCCAGCGTGAAATAACCAAAGGGACAAGCTGTGAGTCGTAAAAACAATTTGAGGAGTTGACGCCATCGTTCAGGGAACACTTGTAACAACAGTGTTCGAATCCCTGTCTTATCTCGTGGACATTTAAAGCAAATGACATAGTGGGCATTGCGGTTAATGGTTTTAGCAAATTTGCCTGGTGGGAATAAACCTTGAGTCAAATACAGTGCTGTAATGCACCTGTGATGAGAATCCTCGGTAAATAAGTTCAATACACGTTTATCACTCTTGCCTTCTTCCGTCAAATCATCCAACACTAAAACTTTTTGATCTTGGGGCTTAAACCATTTCACTAACGCCCCTTCTGGAGGGAGACCTCTGTAAAATTGGACTTTGGAGTGACGTTTCATGTGATCAAATGTAGGTTGCAATCGATGATAACAATACAAAACCTTTTTTGGAAGAGGGTAAAAGAGTTTTTTCTCTTTCAATAAGTGTTCCACGAGACCACTTTTATCACTCCCGGATGGACCGGCAATAATCACACCTGCTGGTTGACGAATCATCTTCGCAATCTATAGTGTTGCACATTGTCTTTTATACCCTTGAATGCTTCTTTTCCTTAAAAAGGCTGCCGCTGTCGCAAAGGTAGAAGAAGGGCCTGATAAACCCATAGCCACCCCTTCCGCAATTTTATCTATGGGTCGTGGTTTTCGTCGAAATCTCGCCTCTCCCCGTTGTTTTTTTCTGGACACTCGTCGTTTTCTACCCATATCTCCTCATACAAGCGGGAGATGCATATTGAATCAACGTTTCCATTGTCTCTCTTAAATAGGTTTCTCCCATCATGTCCATGTTCTCTTTCAATGCTTGCCAATAATGGTGTTGTCTGGCTATGCCACCACTTGTTTCCAATGGACCGCATCCCCCTGCACTTCACAAAAAATTTCCCAGAGATGTTGTAAAAAATAATGAACTTCCGCTAACGCTAAGGCCTCATACACCTTGTGACAATCACTCCTACTGAGCATCTTTCATACAAATGACACCATTGCTTTTATTGAGGGTGTAAATAATAAAATGCTCCGCGGCTACATTGGATCGTTGGCAACCTATATCATACAATTCCTCCTTAATCAATCGTTTTAATGATTGAGTGACTATGCTATCATTCAGCACTAAATTTTGTTTGTTCCATTGGGCTAAAAAATCTTGAAAGGTACTTCCAAGGGCTTTGGCTTTTAAAAACATCAAGGCATAATGTCCACAGGTTTGACTGTCCAAAGCTTGAATCGTCATATCACTCCTGATCCTATATTTCCATTGCGCCAACCATGCTTGCAAATCTGGATTCTTGTAAGTAGATAAGGGTAAGCCATAACTGTCAAATATAAGCATCAGTAAAACGTCTTCCTTTTGGGACGAAAGGTAACTTGTCTGCGGGAAACACCCATCGAAACACACGTCTTAACAATGGATCTTCTCGAGCCAAGATGTTGAGCACTGTATCACTGAGAGCCACAAACTCCAGGACTTAGCGATTGAGAGAATAAAGAAAGCAACCGAACTGATCGCTCTCATATAGGTTTTCATACTCACTCCAGATCACCACGGTAATATTATAACCAACCGCTGCCCGGAAGTCAATCTCATACCTCACATTGCCTGTTTTGTCTGGATTTCTGTAATGAGGGTCATCGGCATCTCCACTGGGTACATTGTTGAAAACATAGAGTGTGCAATTTTTTCCTTGTCCCCAATCACCGGGAAGAATCATGGTAGGCTTGTGTTGTTTATTAGCTCCTATCGCAGTAAGCATTCGGTCGTACCGGAGCAAATCTTCTGCTTGGGTATTCCCGGCCATTTCCAACGCTCTGTAAGGGTATTCTTCTCTATCCACTGTTTCACGTACTCTGGTCACTCCAAACTTTTCATAGGCAAACGGGTAGCAGGTGAGATCACCATTATAATTTTTAGAATTGACCAGACCAAGAACCACTCTATCAGGGACACGTCCCACAGACACATTATCTTGTTCCCATCTTGTACTTTTCCCATCAAAGAAAAAGGTTTGAATTTCACTGCGGACCACTGGATATTTGACCAATTTGGTTTTACTGAGGATTCTTTCTTTATGCAGTCTAGCATAGACACTAGTATTGAGAGTCGCTTTCAGCATGTGCAACGTGACATAAATGTAATCATCTGCTAGGGTAGGAATCTTTTTTTCCAATACTAACAGAAACAGAAACATCTGGCTATCGTTCAGGAACAACTCTAGATCAATCTGTACTCCAGGCACTAGACATGGAGTAAACTTTTCCAGGTGAAGACGAACAATAAAGGTATGATACACTTTGCCCAATAAACGGTTAGTGAGTGCTTTCAAGCCTGTTTTTCCATCACAGTTAGCAGTGTCGGGTTGATCATCATTGTTGGCATTAGCAGTAGCGAGTTATTCTTTTACTTGCACTCCATTCACCCATCCTTGCGGAGCCAAGATAGTCCTGCCTTCTTCTCGATTGTAGTTCAACAGTGTTTCTATGTAAGCTTTTTGATGGTAGGCATTGCTTTGTTCACTCATCAAGACTCCTTTGAAATGAACGTTCATTTTATTGAACAGGGTATGTCCAAAATTGTTGACACAATACACATATTTTGTCACATTCGCTGTCCAAGCAGCCCCTTCTGAATCCGATACCACTTCTGTGCCTGCTTTGTTGAGACGGACTTTGACTTCCAAAAGACTTTCGTTCAAATCATAATAATCATCCGAGGCAGGGACAGTAAACAGAATAGGTCGTTTGCCTGTGTTGGCCGGTTTTGAAGGGAACATATCGTTTGGCTTCATAACGATAGTCCACATCAGGTACGTCAAAGAGGTTTAAAGACATGATGACAACTGTAAGTATTAGCGACGTCGATGCCTCCTTTTATACTTGCGTGCCTCGGAATTACCAGATTGCGAAGGGATTCCAAGGATAAATAATTGGTGCATTTGGCAAACTCATCCCTTGAGCAATACTCCCACCACGTTGGTAAGGGGATTGAAATCGTCCTACCGCTCGTTGATGTCTAATACTCGATTGTCATTTGCGTGCTTTCGGCATCTTGTTACACGCCTAAAATGTCTCGAACTCGTTTGACTTTCTTTTTAAATCATCGTTTCACAGCCGCTTTGGCCAGCACTCCTGCTGCTTTTGGTAATTTACGTTTAAGTCCACGTTTTAGTTCCGACCCAGACACGGCCATGGCTTGCTGTAGCGAGGATCCATCTCGAAAGGCTTGAAGGCCATGTCCTACACTTTTTAAAATTGCAGGTCCAGCAATTTTCACCAAATCATTGGCTAAAGCACCTCCTCCCATGGAGGGTGTATAGTACCGAGTGAGGGGACCACCACGCATGTTGATTTGCAAATGATATTCCATGATGACCTTGTCTCTTTTATAGCGGATCTATGCCGAAAGTGACAATCGTTTTACCAGGAGGAAGAACAGCCAGAGGACCATCAGGTGTAGCAATTTGGAGTTCAACCACTTCCAGTCGATTACTACGTAGTTTGATCCACTCGTGATGATACGGTTTCACCGAGGCACGTCCTTCTCCTGTTATTTCCAGTTGTAATTCTCTCAACAAAGGATGTTTTTGTGCAACAACAATCGTAGACTCTATGATGTCTGAATACACCGTGACGGTTCGTTTGGCAGGTCTGACCAAAGCATTGAAGGAGGTGTTGAGATTAATAAATCTCCATTGCACTCGTCTAGCAAAATGAACTTGAACTCCTTCCAATAAGAATAGCTCCGACGGCGATGAACTAGAAAAGGTTTGTGGTTCGATCCCTAAATAATGACCTCCTGGCCAGGATATTCGTTGGCGGTATTTCTTGGTAGCGAACTACCATCGTAGGTGACTTTAGGCAGTTCAAAGTGTAGGTTGGGTCCCAAGGTGTACGCGTTTTCTTTGTTCCTCCTTGTTCTTTAATTGGTCTTGAAACGTGACCAAACTCGCGTGTTTTTCTGGCAACCATCTAGGTTTTCTCTGCTTGTTAGCTGTCTGAGCTGTTTCCTTCTTTTTTTAATACTCAGCAACCTCTGCCGTCCAAGCGAACGTCTTAGGCAGACACTTTCTTGCCTCTAGCTCCTCTTTCTTGTTTTTGGCACTTTCGCCAAACTGTTTCAGCCTCTGCTCTTCAGGAATCATATGGTTGCTCACATATGTATCCTTTCTGTAAAAGGATTCGTGGTTGGGACTTATGGGTGTTGGCTCAAAGGAAGGTATCATATGGTTGCTGGTACTGGTGTCTTTTCTGTAAAAATAATTCATTGTTTTGTGACAGGTTCACGGATTTCATGGGTCTCTGTTTGAAGGCCCGACGATTCTCATCAGGAGTTGCTGTCAATCTCTTTAACCATTCAGGTACAGGTTGGCTGGATATGTTGGTGTATGAATCCATTGAAAATACTTGCAAGGTCTTCTGGCACCACAAGTTAAAAACACTTTGTTCATGTTTCTAGCTGTTTTACTGAGCCGCATCTTGGAAATGAAGTTACAGTGACATCGAATGGTTCCCCATTGCGCACGAAGTTCAGGATTCATCGCCTCTTTGAGGGCATAATAGACTTTTACTTTATCTTCAAATTTTCCATGATAGCGTGGACATGTCTGACCTCGAGTACCCCAACTACCGCTTTTGATTTGTCATCTTCCTTCGTCTGTTAATAGAAAATCTGATAGAAGAGGGTTGGTATCTTGAAAAAACTCAGCACCGATGTCATCTTGATGTCTTTCGAGTGGAAGGTAAAATGACTGAAATCAAACTGTTTTTTATAGAGACTTGTTTCAATTCGTCATTTCAATTCCCCAAGGAGATGGACATGTACATGTTGAGGCAAGCCCGCCCAGCCCGTCACGTACTTAAAAACAAACACATAGTGTTTGGTTCAATCGTGTTTTTATTTTACTCAATTTTTTACAACTTATGGAAAAGTAAAGCCTCCTACTGGTTCTTGCTTTGTTTTCTGCCGCTTTGTGTTCATCTCTTTCACCATGTCATTTAGCCGCTTTTTAACAGCTGATGTTGTAGCACTCTTGGGAAGACAGGTCGGTTTCAGCGGTTGATGAATCCACTGGAAATACTTGCAGGGGTTTTGATATCTTTCACAGCATAGAAATACTTTATGCATATTTCTTGGGGTTTTGCTAAGTTTGATCCTTGGTACAATTCCACAATGGCAGGAAATAGTCCCCCATTTGGATAACACTTTGAGATGAAGCTCTGTGCACAAAGCGTGTGCAACTCTTTGTTTGTCTTCATACGAGCCAAAGTAGACAGGACATATTCCCTTTTCATTCACTAAAAACTGGGTATGAAGAGGTACTTCTTCTTGAGCAAGGTAGGTCTCCAATTCCACTTCTTCCAGTGTTTTCACTGGTGGTAAACCTTTCATGTCTTCAAAGGAGGGTAAATCTTCTACAATAGTTTCAACCTTTTCACCATTAACGGGTTGTTGGCTTCAATTGTTTTTACATCTCCTGGTTCAAGGTAATTTTGTAGAAAAATTTTATCTCCTGTAGTGTACTTGGGTGGTGTCCATTCTTTTGTAAGGTCTTCATTTGCTTTGAAAGTGTTAGCTTCTCGTGCCATCGTTTTGAGAAAACTTTCTCCTGTGGTAGGCTCTTGCTCTTTTTCCGGGAAATCTTTTAGGAAAGCTTTATCGGCTTCACTGAACTTGGGTGAAGTCCATGCTTTAAATCCCCAGCAATGGCTAAAATCTGGCTCTGTCAGTGGCTTTTCTAACTTCTCCGTCTTTCCCATGGCATTCTGAAACATCTCTCCCGTCGATTGACTGTCTGGAATGTCATCGATTGTGCTAATGGCAGTGTTGAGTTCAGGTGACTCAGGCACGATGACCGTTGGTTCTAAAGAAATCTTCTTTTTCTTCTTGTGCGCTTTGACTGGAGCAGGTTTAGCTGCCGTACGATTCATTTTGAAGAATGAATATCACTGCACATCATGTCTTTTTTATTTGCCTTAGGAGATGGCGTCAATTTACGCAATGACGTCAATGAACGTATGTCATGTCTTTTATGAGTTGGGCATGTTTAGGCAGTGACGTCAAAGGATTGCAAGTAGGTGTTCAACTTACGTAAAGCGTCATTTCTCAGTGACGAGACATGGATCAACTCATGGAAGAAGAGAAACCGTGTGATTTTTCAGCCTACAAAAAGTATTTAGAAAGGTTGATTACTAGAGGCATCACTGATTTCAATTTGACCTTTGATAAAACTATCATTTGTGTAAGTTAAGCAAAACCATGTTTCAAGATCTCTGCGAAAACGCCATTGCCTACGTGACGTTGACCACTGCTGGGACCAAGCTTGCTCGATGACGTCAATACCATAGAGGTATAAAACACAGTGCAGTGCAGTGCAATTCTAACCATCATGTTTACGATTGTAAGTGGAGGTGCATTAGGCGTTGATTTAGAAGCAGAAAAACTCGCTCAAGATCACGGATTACAAGTGGATGTACATATTCCCACTCGCCATCCAAGAAGCAAGTCACTTGTCCCTTTAAGCCGTGCTACGCTAGTTGAAGCCATTCCTATGACTCAACAAGTTGCTTCACGTCTTAACCAATCACTTTCAAGTCCCATCAGCTAACAGTAAATTCATCGAAACTATCATGTCGTCAAGAACTCTGATATGACACTAACGTTTGGCTGTTTTCAAACGTCAAGTGACATGATGCATGGAACAACAGGATGGGTCTTTGAATTTGCAAAACTGATGAAAAAGATCTTGTATTTGCGACATTTGGTACTGGTACAATCAGAACAAAGAACAGTTTCAAGCCTGTGAACAAATGTCCGAGGAACACATTGCCAAACCCACATATTTAGCAAGAACCGCCATTCTGGGTATGCGGGACATTTATGACTTTTTAGATGCATTATTAGAAGTAAACGAACTTTTTAAACGCAGTTTATCCATTTCAGTGGATGATTTTGTCATGATGGATGTAGAGCATCTAGACGATCTCGTAAAAAAACTATTATATTTCACAGAATAAACTTTTTAACTTTATCTTTTGCCTGCTTCTTGTTGAAGCTTCGGTAGTATAATGGTAAAATCTTTGTTTGTCACGCAGAAGATCGGGGTTCGATTCCCGGCCGAGGCGTCGCATTTCTTGAACCATAAGATATATTGTCTCATGGCTCAAGAAATGCTTTTTTTCATTACCGCGCATGCGCGTTGCCCTTTTTCATGACTGCTCCCACAAGTCCACCACGCAACACAAAGACACATGTATAAACTCGCATCTATTAAGAGTATGACGTCAACCCGTTACTATCAATACCTTCATGTCTCTTTAAGTTTGTATCAATTCCTGGGTAGCCTAGGTGGGATAAGCGCTAGGTCAAAACAGATCCGGAGGTTGGAGAGCCCAACACTAACCCGTACTCTACTTTTAAATTTCTTCTTCTACGACTCATTAACATCCAATCAATCGATAACCAATCAATAACACGAAGATACCACGAATAAATCACGAATCACCCGAAGATACCACGAAGTATATAACATATCACGAAATGTCCCCCAACAATCCAAGCCATTTGCATCACAATGATCCCTATAGTTGTGCATAATAGTAGTCCCAGAAACGCTTTTCCCCATGCTTGTCTGAACAAGAGGTGGGAAGAAAAAAGGCAATTGTGAGGGCTTTTCAAGCCTGTAAAAGTGTTTTTTTCGGGTTTGTGATGAAAGATCGTAATTGAACAAACCTTTTCCCAGCTTTTCGGAGTTTTCTGAACATGTTTGAAGAATTCGTTGGAAACGAATGATATACACCAGAAATTGTGGTATCTCATAGCACGTGCTTTATTCCAAAGGATAACATAACTTTTAAACAATACTCACTTCCGAAAGCGGTCAAGGGAAGCAAAGAGTTACTAACATTATGGTGTACACAGTAAGAATTTCGGCATGCCAAAGAGCTAGAGTCGTGGACGAGGTCCTTTACCTGGTATAAAAGTTGCTCAGAGATGTCAACATTACAGCGGCACCCAGCCACTGTTTTCTGTAAAATATCTTTTCGGAGAAGTAAATATTGCCTAGAATCGCATAATTGAATGAAATCTCGCATTCTGATTGGTTAACGAAGCGAAGTATTTAGCGTGGATTTGCGAGGTGAAAACGAGGATAAGTGATATTGTTTCACATCTACGTAACAACATCGTCAAATTCTAACACAACAACTGTAAAAAAGGTTTTTCTATACTGTCATTTTAAAATGTTTTCAAAACCATTGCCACTCTTTGAAGAGCCAAAAACAAACAAAAGCGTTTTTCAAACTGAGCCGGAGGTTCTTCCTTGTTTTCAACTGAACTGCAAATTCTTGGAGAGGCATTAAAAAACTTCTTTCGTTCGTGACAACGAGAAAGCAAGAAAATCCGGTGAATACGGCCCAGAAGATGGCAAGGAAAAGTTCAAACAAACAAGACGGAGAAGTAACAATCAGCACGTATTTACATTTCAAGGTACTTACCTTATATTAATCGCCATCTTAAACTTTCAGTGCTTTCGCTTGGACACTTCATTTCTTTCAGTCTCGAGCAAATGATTTGGAAATTTGAAAAAAGATGTTATAGATAAACGGCTTGTAAATTCAGTGAAACACCACTATTTATCCTTGAGATTAGTTTGAAGCTTTTTTAAAAAGTTTGAAAACAAATGTAAAAACAAGCACAAGGTACAAATAAAGTTGTCAAGGTTCAAACGTGTACGACTGACCTTGCTTCCTATTCGCTAACGCAAGGACAGTCCTGACAGTTGACTTTGAAATGGCTTTCTGGGGCGCGTGCTCAGGATAAAAACAAACAATACTATTGCTGTTTTCTTTTTTTTGCTATTTTTTAATATTGAATTATGCGATTCAAGGAAAATCCATTACCTGACACGTGAATTCCGCGTTACATTGCACTTGAAAACCGACATCGGTGCAATTTAACACGGAATTCACGAGTCAGGTAGTGAATTTTCCTATAGAATTTTCTATTTACTTGAGGACGGCTAAAAATTTTTAGATGACCGTTCCATTCCTGTACAATTTTCGAATCTTATCTCATAACTTCCCTACGATTTTCTGAAGTTTAATTTTCGCATTCTACTTCCCAAGTTAGAAAAAACGAATCCTAAAATTTTCTGATTCAAAAATGATGGAGAGAGGAATTAGAAAATGTCTCACTTTCGTCACAAATTTCATCGAACATTTTCAGGAAAATAATATTCAAGGCCTTGAAATTTCGAAAAGGCTCAAGTTCCCCTACGATGACCGAACAGATACAAATCTTACAGCGCCGCTTCTATGGCTTATTCTAGAGATCTAAAAGTACTCTGGATAGGCTAAGAAGTGTGTTCAAAGCATTTAGGAGGAAACTGTCGCTGGGTGCCCCTGACATTACATTCGCCAGTACTCAATATGAGCACCAATGTCAAAAAAAAATCCAGTAGGCTTGGCAGAGAAAATAGCAACGTTTTCCAAAAGATAGAACGGCCGTGAAAAGATATTAAGCGATGTAAATAGCCTTCCGGCATTTGTACAACACAAAAAATTAGACAGGAGGTAATGCAGTGGTGATGTAAGAAAAAAGCGGTTGTTTAATAATACGCCTGGTTCATGACAAAACAGTTTGTCGCTCACTTCACGAGAATTGTACCGCATCCCTTTTTGTTTGAAAGTGTTGCTAATATTTATCAGTGTTTATCTGCTAACAAAAATTACTTTGCGTGATATTTGTCACGAACTAAGTAAATAACCAAGTTAGTTTACTTTGAACTGATTTACATAGCTCGACGGAACTCACCAACAGTACTCACTCTAAAACCATAATAGTGTGTGTTTTTTCTATAGAATCTTAACATCTCAGGGATGGTGAGAGAAAAATTACCTTTAGATACATCTTTTGACGCCTTTATTTACAGCGAAAACGCAATTTCCAGCTCTTTAGTCACAGTACTCACTTTAGAAATGGTAAACGTGCAGCGTGCAACCATGGAGTTATGGATGCACGCGGGAGGTTGCTAAGCACGAAAGAAGCGTAAGAGTCGCACGAGGCGATAGCCGAGCGCGACTCTAGCTTCTTGAGTGCTTAGCAAACCTCTCAAGTGCATCCATAACTCCATTGTTGCACAGCTGCAACGTTTACCATTTCTTTTATAACATAATCAAAAGAGAAAAACATTATTTTCCATTTGCCTTTGGTTGAGTCATCGGTCCGAGTTCGTGTATGCTGCCATCTGTATGCTGTCTACTTGCTCTTTATATTAGGGTAAAAACTTTAAGGGAAAACTATGGCTGCAACTATAAACACCAACTAAAAAGACTCTAAAAAATAAGCTAAAAATAAATAAATGAAATAATTATAAAGCTTATTTTTGTGACAGTTTTTGAAATAAACGTAAAGTAGAAATGAGAAAATCTGACTGTAATTCCTTTAGAATAACAGGTAACACTAATTTTAAAAAGAAATTAACTAGCTTTGTATCGAAATCTGTCTGGGGAAATCCAGCTATGAAAGTCAAAGTTGCAAATGAAATTCGCCGACACAAAGCCGGCGCTGAAGCTATTGTTTTTCGACCGTTCTCTGAACGACCGTTATGAATGAACACTGAGGAACAAAATAATACACACAGAAGTTATTTTTTGAAAAATTTATTTGAAAACCCAAATGTTTCTGTACTCAAATGAAATTCGCTTATTCCAGCGTAATGTACCCGTTTAAACTCAAGTAAAATTTTTAATCGATGAGATGAAAACTTCACAACAAAGCTGTCTCAAGTTTGAGCTTGTTGCCTAAAAGATTTGCTTGAATTTAGCATCAGCTTGACCAAAAAGTCAATGATACAATGCTAATTGATAAATTTACATTTCAAACAGACTTTCTCTTCTATAAAAATCACACAAAATGTACCTTAAATCTTCGATCGCTCGATTTCCTTCAGCCGATTCTAACCGTCAGGAAAACAGTGATTAATTCATCCAGGGCAAATTTGTCTCTTGATCTTTTGTCTTTTTTTCTTCAAAACGGCAGCTTAGTATTTTCTTTAACTTCCACTTTTCATCTGTGTGTCGGTGTATTTTACCGTCAGGAGAGGAGATTTTTTGTGGTTGAAATATACCTTATCCGTGTTTCTTAGTTAATTTGTAGCGAATATTGATAATACACTGTGTTTTTGTGACCGAGTACTATGCGCGATGCTCGACAGATCGTCCATGACCAACTTCTGCTGTACTCGGCACCAGCTTAGGGGAATTGGACCGATATGGGAAATGAGGCAATTGCCTTGTAAAAACTTGCTATGTTGAGAAAATAGTTTCAAAGGTCTTTCTTATTGCATGTGAACACCTACTTGTCTCTAAAATGCCCAGAAAGCTAAGGAAAAATGAAGAAAACGGACTTTCTTCCCAAAACCAGGATTCACAGACAATCCTGGACAAAAGTCCTTGGGACAATACTGCAATATTCATATTTTTCTGTCATTTCTCGGTTCCCTCTTTTTTCGAAATTTTCTTGCAGTTTTTGCTCCCCCACCCTATACAAAGTTGAAACACGGAAAAAAATTCTGGATACACGCGTCCAACATTGTTTGTGGGCTGAGGGGAGGAGTTGGACCTGGGTGAATTGGAAAACGTCCCAGAAATGCAAAAGTGACCCAAGACTTTTGTTTATGATTGTAGATGTAACTGTTAGTAGTACATAGACGACTACCTCTACCGAAATGATTTTGGTATCCTTCCTCTGCAAATATAAACTATATGTAAGAAAAGTCTTCTTTGATCGCACCAACATTTGTGTATGTTTAAAAGCTTGAATTAATTAAGCGTAATTCCTGTGTCCGACTTCATCATTACGCTTATTGCCTGCTTTCGTGCCACCAAGGAACGACCCACTAGAGTCATTGCTCGGCTATATTACAAAGTTAGATTTGCTCTTCTTCAAACGTGGTAAGGTAGTATTAGAGTAAATCGTTTTCGTACCATGTGAGAAAAGTCGCCAAAACGCCAGCAGTGCTCTTTTTATCTCAGTCATCTTTCTTCGAAGGGACCAGTCATTATTTATCGGCTGGGGGGGGGGAAAATTTTGGCCTAAACAAGTTGACATTTAGCCAACCCCCTCTTTGAACGTTACTTCACTGAAGTGATCCCCTCTAATAACTTTTGATGACTTTCGCGACTCCCCCCCCCGTCTTCATTTTCCAAGAAAATGTGAGTGCCCCCCTCCCTCTGAATCCTTCCAAAGTTTTCAGCGATCCCCCCTTTTGGATTCTCAGTTGCGACTGATCCCCCTTTTTTTCTCCCAAAAATCAAGTGATGCGCACTAAAATCCTCCGCCCCCCTTCCCCAAGGCGATAAATAATGGCCGGTCCCTAAAACTTACGATCAAAACAATGAAACACCTCACCGAGACGGTCAAAAGCGTTTTCCTTGATCCCTGGTTTACTTAACATTCCTTAACAAAACTTGCACTTCTAACGTATTCTTCGTCGTTAGCACTCACAAATGAGCTTATCAGATGAAAGTGCATCCCTCGCGCGACTACGCTTAGTAAACAAGTGTTGTCACAGGACATGCGCAGTACGTTATTCAGCCCTGTCGGTTTGCATGTTTTTTTTTTCAGTCGCACTTTGTTGTGCTATTTTTTTCTTCCCGTTTCTGCCTTCCCCTGCCCTGACCATGTTTCAAATAATCAATACTAAAATGGTATAGTTACCTCTGCACCGGTAGGAAGAAGACCTTTGTCATGACATTTTTGATACGTGAAGGTTCGGTAAAGAATCTGATTAACCATGTTTTCAGTATTCTCTGCATCGTCAAGTATCTGGTCGATTTTATCTGAATGTACATGTAATAAGAAAGGTAATCATATGGGCCGGCTCCTAATAGTTTCTTTGATCAGTTAACCCCCGGACGTACACGCAAATTTATACCCCGACCGTGGTACAAGGAATACGGGAGGAATCCCTCTAGAGGTTTTGATATGTTGCAGTATTTGGAAACGAAGCCTTTGATCTTCTTAAGGTGACTGGACCCAGTTATTTTCTGAGGGTACCATCCTACTTTGAAGCTCTCTGGTATCCCCACCTTTACTTTGATCGTAAGTCTAACATATAGCATGGATAATATATAAATCAATCTACAATATAGCATAAAAATTTTGGCGATTGGAGTAAATGTCACGTGGTTATAGTGCCACGCCTCTTTGGGTCTTATAGTCAGGTCTCTTAGTGCAAAATATAGGCCAGATCGTTACAGACGTGACAAAAGTGTCAAATTTCACAGAGCTTCCTTAGCACCTGCCGATTAATACTGGAGGGAGTGCCCGTTACAAATGGTCCTAATTACAGATAAAAAAAGGGGGGTTAACACTTCACCTATAATAGCAGATTGGACTCCCTGTGATGAGTACTCTTCTTGTTTGATTTGGCTGAAAAACATTTGTTTCAAATTTTTAAGTTTTTAATTTGGTAATGTTTAGTTGCTATTACACTATCCAAAACAGTTTTATATGTACATAATACTGTCTAGTGCCCAGTCTCCACACGGTAAGTGTGGCCATGTTCACTGTGCGGCTATCAGTGTCACTGCTAAGTATAATATCATTACATATCAATTTAAACTGATCACAAAGCCAGCTTTCAAAGATGTCATACAATAACATAAAACCAAAATGTATCACATCCTAGACGATAAAATCGTTAAATTGACATACCACACGAACGACCTATTGAACCGTAACTGACAACGCGCCCACTTTGTAATTGTGCAGCTAAGATTAGATTATAATTTGCTTCGTTGGTAACCCTGTTCTTGAGATAATGATTAAAACATGTCAACCTCGTCCTCAGGGGGAAAAGGAGGAGTAAGGGTGGCACAGTTGGTTAGTGCATGCGCAGCCTTCGGTGCGCAAGGTCCCAAGTTCGATCCCCAGTGTCAACATATCCTTATTTCAACTTCTCTCCTTTCTGTGTAGCTTTGACTAGCTTTAAATACCCTTAAAACGGAGCATTAATGGAGAGAGGGGGGTAAAAGGAGCGCACCGTCGACCTCAAGTTTATCCGTTATTATTACTGTCACGAGTTATTGACGTAAAATATGGTCGTTTTACCTTTTTCTACCTTTTTATTAAGCCCTGGGAAGGAGGTTGTAAAACATGTCTCTCCAGGAATTTTTAACACTCTTTATTTTTTACACATTTGTATTTAAAAATAAGTGTATGAGGTCCCTGCATGCCTAGACGCCTGAAAGGAGCTCATTCACTTCAGAGCCCTCGCACCAGAGTGTTAATGGTAGGTCTATACGATCTTTCAAAAAAAAAAAAGGAAGGTCGTCGCGTGCGTTACAGTTTACAAACAAACTAAGTTCAGAAGACAAGTTGCAGGAACAAGACCTCTTTTAGCCAACCAATGATGCATCATTTATGAAAATGAATGTAATTTGTTTGATACAATTAGGCGAATACCCCGTGGTTACGAGACCTTACAATCATGAATTCCTCAAGAGCAATTCAATTACCAACTTTTCACAAAATAATGCTGTGGAAAATTACAGAAAATACCAAAAAAAGCAAGGGTCAACAATAATTATGGCCTGGTCCCTTATAATAATGGAGTGGTTATGATAAAGAAGCCCATCAGCCTCAACTTTGACCACTCAAACAGATTTCTGACAGATTACGTACCGCAAAACTTTGCATTCAGTTATGCTTATGTTGCCACAGCAGGAGCGTAGAAATCGGCTCCTGGTCACACCTTGTTTTTATTGCTGAATATCATTCTAAAGAGCTTTACGAAATATTTTGTTAGTAGCGGTGTTTTGAACATGATTGAAATTTAGAGATGGTGACAAAAACGAACCCAAAAAGGTCAGAAAACGAGACGCATGAAACAACCGCAATCTAATATTCGTGTTACACTGATATAATGGCTCCTTTGGCTGCTATGCTGACGTTTTATGAAGATGGAAATAGTATCACAGCTAGTCGCGGGTTAGGTACACCCTTTATTACCAGTTTCACGGTTCCTGTTACAGTCAAAACAGGTCAAGCGTATCCCCCAAGATTCTATTAATGAATTGATTATTTGAAAAATGAATCCCTTAGTTGTTCCCGTAACTGGTGTCAAATTCAAATCGGAATTACTGCATGCGTAATGAGCAGTGAGAAATTTACAAGAACTTGTCTGTATTTGGTCAGATTGAAAATCTTTGAATGAATTAAAATTCTTAGAAGACATTTACATTAAATTCAGGGAAACTGAGCTGGTAGAAATTTCGTAACTGAATCGCGTGCGAATTCACGGCTCATTACGCATGCAAGAATGTAGAGATGAATCTGAAATCTACAACTGCCAACGGACTCAACTTTCGAATAATAAATTCATTAATGGAATTTTGGGGGGTACGCCTGACCTGGCTTGACTGTAACATAAAGGGGGGGGACCCCAGGTAGGTGAGGTAACCTGCTTAGGTAGGGTAAAAAAATAACCCTCCTCTACATGCAATCTTACAACCCCGCCATCCTGTGGTGCACTTTCTCAAGATTATTGAATGGTCGCTAAGCACGTAAACAAGAAAAATGCTGGCAAACCACGTCTACGCTCTGCTCTTACTGCAACCTTCAGTGTTGTGATTTTCTATTGTTACCTTCAATAATTATGTGAAGCCACCCGGCGCCAAAGTGAATTTTGTGCGAAGTTGATGTATGACGAATCCGACCCCGACTAGCCTGGGTTACCTCACCTTGAAACGTTGACATGGCAAAATTTTACCTCCGCTGAGAGGGTTACCCGATGTGGCAGACCGGGCTACCCACCTCGAAGAGTCACCCCACCTATCATGTAAACGTGCTCATATTAAAATGAGAGATTATATGAACAGGCGGGTTACCCCACGTAAGTGGGTTACCATGCCTACCTGGGGTCTCCCTCCTCCATGTAAACAGGCCCTAAAAGTTAGCCCGGCCCTCTTTCTACAGTTTCCGCAGTTTGAGTCAATTTTGTACCACTTGAGTCTCACTTTTACGACTTGATAAGCTGTTATTATTTTTGGACATGAGTGCTTCAGTGCCAAATGTAGAGGCTTCATGATAAACTGTGTTCTTTTTGAAGCTTGGGCTAACTTGTTTCTTTTTTTTGTTTATGAGACCAGATTCGTTTTTGTTTGTTTTCGCTTTGTAAAGCTTAGCCAAACCGCGGGAATTGTAAATGATATGACTCTGCGTCCAGCAGATAAAGAGAGACTGAAAGGCATCCAGGCCTATGTTAAGCTGAAAAATTAATTACCTCCTTAGGAAAGAACTATTTTGGGTTCTGTAATTTCGTTATTTGCTCTTCATGAACAGCTGTCATAAATCCCTGATAATATGTGATACAACAGACTCTTTGACAATTTCTTTTTTCTGAAATTTTGTGTGTGAATCGCTATGCCATACTCTTTTTTTAGTTTAAAGTGACATGTAAAGACAAGTAATACTTGATAAATAGGGCTTAAGCCACACAATAAGGCCTCCTCTAACTGAAATACATTAGAAAAGGAGAAGAGAACCCCAGAAGCTAAGTACTTGCAAGTTATGAAGCAAAGACGAGGCCATCTTAGAAATGACTTACGAAAATGTGCGCGGACTGTGGACTTGCTTTAAGGGCACAATAATAATCAACTTAATTATACAATCAATGAACTAATAATGAATGGGAATGCCAGATGTTGGAGTGAAATTGTTGTTTACAACTTGAGAATAGCATTCTGAGTAATTTAAGGTATTAAATAACAATTTTCAATGAAAACACCACAGGGACCCCAGCAAGTGAAATTTACAATAATTAAATCCTGTTTAGCACGCTTCAGCGGCATATTTGCATTGGGCGCCCCCTCTAATATTCATGGTACTGTAATAAGCTATCGCTGTGGAAAGTTTGCTGCTTTTGTCAACTCTGTAACGATCCTGACCTTAAGAGACCTGACTATTAGTCGAAATTCAGCTATTGCCGGTTTTTTTTCGTGAAAATCTCTCGGCTACATATAGTGCGCATTGGTGCCTTGCGTTGAGCAGAGTTTCACCAAATAGCACAGAATCGATGCGAGAAATTCCGCGGTTTCCAAATTTAGGTCATAATTTATGTGGAAATGATGAGCAGACTGTACACGATTATATCTAATGAACTATGACATTTACCCCTTTATTTTGGGGATCTTTATATAACAGATGGGTCCTTACAAGTCAGCAAAAAGCTTTAGAGCCTTGTAAATGCGCGCGATTTCGAGCAATGCGAACATATAGAAACTATAGTTTTAGCTATTTGTTTACGTTTGTCAGCGTTTAAAAGTCTTTCTCACAAAAAAAGTATTTTCTTAAAAAATTCCTATTTCTTTCCCTTCAATTTTTTTCAGGGCCACAATTGATTAACTAACTACCCGGATTCTGAATTTCATAGGCATTGAAAAAATTGATTGAAATCGCACGCATTTACAAGCCCCTAAAGCTTTTTGCTGACTTGCAAGGACCTATCTGTTGTAAAGATCCCCAAAATAAAGGGATAAATCTCATAGTTTATTAGCTATAATCGTGTAAAGTTTGCTTATCATTTTCACATAAATTATTACCTAAATTTGGAAACCGCGGAAGTTCTCGCATTGAGTCTTTGCGATTTTGGTGAAACTCTGTTCAACGCAAGGTACTAATGCACACTATATGTACCCTTGAGATTTTCACGAAAAACTGCCGGCAACGGCAGAATTTCGACTCACACCCCAAACAGGCGTAGCACTATAACCACGTGACATTTACTCCGATCACTAAAAATTTTATGCTGTATTATAGGTTGATCTATATATTATCCATGCTATATGTTAGACTTACGATCAAAGTAAAGGTGAGGATACAGAAGAGCTTCAAAGTAGGATGGTACCCTCACAAAATTACTGGGTCGAGTCACCTTAAGAAGATGAGGTATGTTTCATGGGTGGTGGCGCTGCTGGAGGCCTGTGACGTCGCCAACAATAGTCGCCATCTTGGATTTTACCAAGTATCAGAACTCAGGTTAAAACAGCTCGAAATGGTGAGTTTTTGTGCTTGACAGGAAAAATAACACATAAATAAGCACTTTGCATGATTTTAGCCACAAGATTTACTTTTATTGTTGAAAGAAGTTGAAAAAACATGCATTTTCACTCAAAATGGCTTGATCACCTGCTACTTATGACGTCATATCTCGTAACCACAGAAATTGACCATCACTGAACTTGACTCAAAATGTGCGCGAGTTATACACGAACAGCACAGTACTAAAAACGTCTGGTGCTGATGTCTTACCCTCTAGGAAAAAATGCAGAAAAACCTTAGGGAGGGGTGGCAACCCCCCTTTACCCCTTGTACGTCAGAGGGTTAAAAGAATTTTAACTGAAAAGAAACTATTCCAATTATTCGAATAAGCTGAATTTTCAGGACTTAAAACGAGTTTAATATAATGCACACTTACTTCCTGGAGGAAAGAAATCTCCGTATTTAAGTCTGTACTTGTCCAATAAAAATTGCAAAACGACCTGCAGTGAAACAAAAATTGAAATTAAGTATAAAAGTTGAGCGAGGTTCAACTTTAACGTTTCCGCGTGACCTTCTGTACATTGTTTAAGTTTATTTTCACCCTTTTCAGACCGGGCCTTTTTGGTTGTTGATACGGCCACCAAAATTACACACAGTAATGTACTCATTATTTCCAAATGCATAACTTGACTGAGACAATGACGCATCTTAACGTCCAGTTTAAGCTATATAGTTTTCTAACCCATATAGCATTAAATTGAATTTAGTAGTAGTGCAATAGTAACCAAACTACATTTAAATCACAAATAATGATAATCCTTGCCCTCGAGTCACGGAATCCTCTAGTCGATTCAATTAATTTAATTGATCAAAGAAATTATAAAAATGCCACCGGCTCTTTCACAGAACGACACAATGATCTTGAATTAGCACAAAAAGTCATTTTTGACGATTTATGAGTAGGCTGCGCAAACCGTTAATTCATCTCCAATTTCAGGTGTCTCAATCAGTTTGTCATAAAAACAAATGTCTTGTGTATTATTTTGTCCAATTTTTTATATACAATGAACCTACAACGATAGCCTGAAAGCAAGCTATCTGTTTTGGAAATCGCCAGAGGCATTGCCTCTTGTGATTCACAATAGACCATTTCTGAGTTCCTATAACTCTCGCTTTCACAGTAACTCTCGCTTTCAAAACGAGGCTAAGAGCAAAACCTGTCTTGGGAAATTTAAAATGAAGAAAAAAACAAAAATAATTTTCATATTCATGTATGGCTTTGCTTTTAGTCTTGCTTTGAAGCAGAGGATTGGGATAACTCAGAAATGGCCTTTTTAAGACGAGAGCCTGCTTTCTAAAAAACAGGTTACTAACTTAAGGGCGACGGTCAGGAAAATCGACCAAAATCGTAATGTAGTGGCAAGAGTTGAAAAATTATTAATTTCTTTCATTTCTTTTTCATAGATAGCTTTTAGGTAGATAAGAAACCTAATGTAGATTGTTCCCCCCAAAAGCATTTTATTTGTGAGAAAAATTAGAAGAATGGTTTTCGATGTCGGAGTCTCAGATTGTAATTATCATAAAAATTATCCCAGGATCCTTTGAGGCAATTTTTTTTGAAGCCTTATAACTTTGACAATTTTATACGTAGAAGAATGTCAGACTACAGCAACATATCATTTGCCATAGAATATCATCCCATGTCACACCCAGGGTCATGACGTCATCAGTCACGTGACTATTTCTGAATCCGGTTTTTTTGTTGCTGTGATTAGATTTCATTATTGGGATAAAAACAAATAGCATATTTGAGGTCTTGGTTGTGTGGAGCATTTAAAAATAACCAGTTTACGTCCAGCATTTAAAATGTAAGAACATGAGCATGAACATGAGCGAAAACGTCGGGAGACTATGCCAAGGGCTGTAGAGAGTTGACGTTTCATCACACGGCAAAGAAAATTTGCAGGAAAGTAATATTGTACTTGATAATATTTTTCATGACCAAAAGAGGGACATGACGTCATCAGTCACGTGACCACAGCGTTTTGAATATTTTAGTACATTTTTCGCCATAAATTGGCAGGTTTTTGTTGTTTTTCTCTACAAATCTTTACACTGTATTACCCCTGAGTAATTATTTTTCCATTTTCAAAGCAGAAGCGAAAACTGAGCCAGAAGTTTAAAAGTTGCGTAAATTGACCGATATTGCAAATTGAAATCGAAAAGAAAACCTATTCTTGAGACTTTTAAAATCTCCTTTCTCAACTTAACTGTTTGTTTGCCGAAATAAATGTTCAACGTTTGTTAATAACGGAGAACTTTAAAACTAGAAGGATGTATTTGGCGGCCATATTGTTTTTCTTCATTCCAGGGAGAAATGTCATATAGCAGCTCTTCTAACCCTAAAAGCCAAATGGTTTGCTACCCTAACCTAAAACAATGGAAATAATAATGAACAATGATGTGTTAATGTTTTCCCCGACCGATGAAAAGACACCTTACGAGCAGGGAGAGTATCATACGGTTATACTGTTCAGTCGGTAGCCACGCGATCGATAGTACATAAATTTCTTAAACGTTCCCGGCATGGACCAAGCCTGAAAGAATGTTAATGGGTTTATTGTGAGTTTTACGTCTAGCTTCGATCAGTGAAAGATTTAATTCTACCCGGAAATTAAAAAAAAAACACGAAAAAGTCATCCTTGAAAACTGTCAATCACCATAGAGAAGGAATACATACCTCTTTTACATTCGGGTGGTCAGTGTTAACCGAGGTGGTCCAGTGGATAGAGTAGATAGCTTTTAATTCTAACTGATTCTGAGGGTCCGAGCTGGAACCCCATTGAAGCAGATTTTTCCTAACCTTATTTTTTTTTCCTTTTTTTAAATCTCTTTTTTATTTTTTTTACCTGTGTTTGTGCATATAGCTAGTAAAATAATGTGGTAAATTGAACACAAAGTTCACATGAATATAAAAAATGCGGTATGTATCATAGCGTATCTACCGGTATAGTTTAGTAATACTGGACACTGTTATCATTACGCAGCTTAATCGTCGATTTTCACATGTACCTAATTTAACTCGAGAAGTAACTGCTTTGAGATGGGACGTCTAAATCAATTAAATTCGACAGTATCAAATTAAATACGACTTTATGGAATCTGCGACTGAAACAGTCGAAAATTCGACTTTTCAACATTTGATTTAGAAGTCGCATTCCACATGTGACGAATATAATGCATTAATTATAGAAAGCCTTATCCACGCTGGATAAAAAAAAATTCTTAAGAGACTGGGAATGTTTACAACAAACGGAGTTTAATTCAGCACCATCATATCCGACGTCTGAATCAACTGCCTTATTTAATTACTTTTGTCGACTAAAATAGGTGTTCGGTACTCATAACAAATTCCACGTTCGAAACGTTCAGCTTAGTGGTTTGCGGGCTGTTATTAAGTTGTTGTTTTCTTTTCAGTAAGAGCAATTCGTATCTCTCTTTGTAAATCCATTTTATTAATCGCCTGGTGCCGCGACTTAAGAATCAGCTGTAATAGCTGATTTCATGCACTTTCTCTTTGACATGATATGTATGTCACTGGACATGATTTGTATATCAAAAAGAGCGATCAATTTTCATCCATCCATTTCAATAAAAGCAAATGGAATCACTTCTCACCGTTTTCACCGTTTCCTGATTCCGGATTCCATGTCTTAGTGCTGCCCAAAGTAAACCACTTTTTAAGAAAAGACTCTCTAAACGTTGAGCAGAGAAACAAAAACTGAAAAAGTTAAAAGCGAATGGAGACAAAACTCGACCAAATCGTGACCAAAACTCAAAACCTAGCCTACCCTCATTTTCACTTTATAGTAATTTTTTTAAATGAGTATAACGCTGTTTAGGTTTAAAATTCAAAATCCGACTGAGTTTGGGAATTATTTGATTTTCGATTGTTTTCGATTTCAACGGCCTGGGCCTATTAAAAATTAGCCGCCGAAGACGGGAAAATAGTCCAGTGACAGAATCGAGGTGACTTTTTTTAAGAAAGAGAACATATTGGCAATCCTCTACTAATAGTTTTCTCAAAACAGTTATCTAACAATTAAAAAAAAAATAGAACGGCACGTTTACTTATTTTATTTAGAGAACAAAATATTAGCCTGTCGCAGGCGTTCAGATGATAGAAGGGCGCAGGTGAAAAACTGACGAGGAAAAAAAAGAAAACGATTGCAGACAAGTGCTGCTGTCTAATCCAAATCTTTGCGATCAAAACTAGCTTAAAATTCTAATGTTGGTAAATATATCCCTGTGGTCAGGGTAAAAACGACCTACAGTATGTATAAAACGCGGACTACGGACTGTATATTTTGAAACAGCTTTCGAAAGGATAGCCGACTAGCTCAAAACAGTAGTTCCACCTCCTCGCCTCACACACAAACATTTCTTTGGGTGGACACGCATTCTTTTCTCCCCAAAGTCAGCGTCATGTGGAGAAGGAAAGCATCCTGCACGGGCAAGAAGGGCTATGCCGTTACACAAGGCAACTGAAAATGAAAATCTAAAATTTTATAAAAGGTAGGAGTTGGAAGAGAATTCAATTTATAGCCTTAAACCAATAAAAGTCGATATGAAATTGAGAGACAAAAAAATACTATTGGTGTTAGTGAGAGTAAAAATCTTATAGATGCCTCAATTCCTTAAAGGAATTTCGTCCCATGTAAGGGAATCCAAATACCGGAATCAGGGAAATTTTTGCATGTGGAATCCGAAATCTGGAAGATTTTTGCTTGTGGAATTCGGAATACTGGGCCTTGGAATCCGGAATCCTGGGACTTAGAATCCCAAATCCCATTAACAATTAGAATCCGGAATCCAAGTTCCACTGAAAAAGAGCTGGAATCCAGTATTTGGAATTCGGAATCCACGGCGGGGAATCCACAATCCAAGACGATCTTGTATTCCCTTGCATGGGGTGACCTTTTTAAAGCTGGGGATGTGAGGAAATGAATAACCTAGACAAGAAGGTCAACAGAGAGGCATTCTGCGATGCAAGAAAGCAGTATCGTAGGGGAAGGGGTACTCACCTATACGTAAACTGAAAAATATCATCCAAAGTTATATTCTAAGAGATGATGACATGATTTACACCTATGTAAACATGTACATCGCGCTTGTGACCACGGTTTTAGAGACCAAGACCGAGTCTAAAAATGGGTGTAGAAAATAACATTTTGGTTAAGCTCAGGACATAAAGAACTAGGTGGCACACCCGGGGCGGCACACCTCCACCAAGAAATTATAAGACTATTCATAACTTTAACTCACGTGTTGTGCTATTTAGCGATTTTTTGATCTTATTTTACCTTACCCCTCTACAACCAATTAGGCAAGCACAGTTTTTAGCAACGAAGTCCATGTCCTCATTTTATACCTTGTCCTACGCAGTCCACAGTCCGCAGTCCATAGCTGACCGTATTAAGCTGCGCTATCTAGACTTGTCCTACATTTAATACAAACAGCACGCAACAAAAGCAGAGTGGATGAAATTGAATTTCTTTTTGGCTGTTAAGGAGGAAACATTTTTCTCTTTTCAAGAAATTGTTGGCGGCCATAATTTGCGTTTTCCACAGGTTGACAAAGGGGTTTTCCGTGGCGCGTGATGGCCAAATATGATTGATCGGGTCAAAATAAGCTGCGTTAGGCGTCATTTGGCCAAGCAGCTTGAAGCGTGAGTCTACTATTTTCCCATTTGTGACGCGTGATTTTCCTTTGAAATTTTCGTTATGTTAAATATCATTTGAAAAAAGAAGCTGGGGCATTAAAAATAGATAGTTATGACACCAACTTGTTCCCCTTTTTTTTTCTTTCTTTTTTTTTTTTTTGACCTCTGGTTTCTTCAGATAAAATGATATTAAATAGGATTGTCTATTTTTCAGTGATGCGTAACAGCTTATAAAAAACATCGGCGTGATGCGTGATAGGTACCACGCCCCCACTTCGCCACCCTGTTTTTGCTGAAGGTGTTGCCTTACCACTACTTGATACAGTTGATCTGTTTGGGCTAACATTAGACGATTCTTTGAATTTTGGAAAACACATTACGAAAACTGGCAAGAAAGTTACAAAGCAACTAGATGTTCTTTGTAGAATAAAGAATATATTATCGTTTCGTACCAAACTCTACCTTTATAATTCGTTCATATTATGTCTCACTTTCACTACTTTTTATGGTAAATAGCTATGTGAAGGGTTTGAACCCAGGAGTCGTTCCAAAAGTAGGTTGAGTTTGATGGACCGGGTAAACGTAATCCTGAATAGGACTATTGTTGTTGACAGTGACTGACGTTTCGACAACCTTTTCAGTAGTCATCTTCAGAGTCAAAGTGAGTTGTATCACGTCAGTTGATGGTATTATACTCTGGTTATTGATCTGATTGGTCAATTACGTCGCGATGTTATTGGTCGTCTGTCAGTTAAGCCGTGATGTTATTGGCTATGAAGAATCGTAATCAGTGATTGGTGCGTTTCGATCCGTCTATTGTCACAGTTAAACAGTCGTCTATTGTTAGTCAAATTGTTAGTTCTCCAGTCGTTCTCTCGTAGTTAGTTTTGCTTGATCTCGTCAATAAGTCGTTTGTACGGCGCTGGTAACTGTTGGCTACGATTCAGTGGCGTTTGTTCTAAGTTAGTAAACCAGCTTTCTAAAGTAAGACATTGATAGTAGTCTCTAGAATACGTTATACATGTCGCAGAGTCCCAGTCAATTTGATGTTTCGTCTTTAAATGGTGCTCAGCAATGTTATTGTTGACGTCACCATTCCTCGTTGCGCGTTTGTGTTCGGTCAGTCGCGTGCTTAGGTTTCTGCCGGTTTCACCAATGTAAGAAGCCTGGCAGTCGAAGCATTTGATCTTGTATACTGCTCCCTGTCTGTCCTCCGGTTTGTCTTTGTCCTTGACATTAGTAAGCAGTCGCGGTAAAGTGGTTATCGGTTTGTGTGCAACACGTATATTGTAAGGTTGTAATATACGTGCAATAGTTTCAGAGGTGCCTCTGATGTATAGCCTGCGTAGCAGGCGTCGAAAGGGGTAGGGGATAGGGAAAAAGGGAGGGGGTAGGGGAGAGAGGGGATTGGACGCCTGCTATAAGAACCCCCTTTTATTCATTTCTGCGGACGCTGGCGTCCGCAAATTCCTGACTGGCTGAGCCGTAATGTGTAACTTATTGGCGTGTATCCTGGCGTGTATTAGTGTGAGAGACGAACATGATGAAGACATCAAGAAGGTGTGTTCCACTGGCATAAGCTTTGGAAGATCAAAATTACTCCAATCATGTAGCAACTTCACGTTAAAACGAGAACTGGAACCAACTGTAACAGCTTGTTTAGCAGGCAGAGATGCTCAGGAAATTTTGTATACTGGATTTGTCAAAAACACCGAGCAGCGATTCACAGCGATTGCGATTCTTGCCAGATATCTGCAATGCCGATATTCAAAAGACCTCCTTTTCCGCAAAAACATATACCGTCTTGAATGGAGTTTTAAATGGTTTGCAAAGAAAGAGAGTTGAAGCTTTGGTAAAAACTATCCGTTGAGCGTTTTGACAATTATTTATAATTCTCCTTTACTTTCATTATTCGCGTCTCAGGCTGGGCAGTGTTCTGTTCTTTGTGACCATCACGGTGCTTGATGAGGTTGTAAGATAAAAAGGTTTTGAGTATTCACACGAAACTGATCATTGTTTATCGTAGACTGCGAGCAGTAAAAAAATGAGAGACTGCTCTTAGTGTATGGTTGTCGTGTTTGCTCCGGGATCAAGAACAGTAAAAATGTTTCATTTCGCTCGATTATGATATCACTTGAAAAAAGCGTCTCAACTTGACAATTTCCGGTAAACAAAGTAATTAAGTTCGGACCATGCTGAGAAGTCCCGTACTTGTGATTGGTCACGTACTGACAGTGACATTATCGGATTAGTTGAGAAAATGGTGGGCGGATTACAAAAACACCGGCTCTTATAGCAGGCGCTCCCTTCCCTTTTCCCTCTTTCCTGCTTTTCTCCCCCCCACTTCTCCCTCCCCTTTTTGCGCCTTTTTGTGCAGGCTACTTATGTACGGTATAGTCGCTGTCGTAACAGGGCCAGAGTTGGCCTGAGTGTTGAGATCAGTGTTACTGTGAGTGTTCCGTCTAACAAAGTCCGTGTTGTAATTGTTCTTACTAAAAACGTTGTTAAGATAATCAGTCTCGTCTTATAGGCTGTCAGGTGAGTCGGAAACTAGTTACGCTCGTCTCGCCAGAGTCCGGATAGTAGTAGCCTTGTGAGACAAGATCGACTTTCGACGCTACAACAGACTGACGTGTAGTGTTCCGCAGCCACCCAAGCTGTATGGACTACCAAAACTACACAAACCCAACATACCTATGCGGCCCATAGTTTCTTTTTGTGGGTCCCCAACCTACCAACTGTCTGAATACTTAACTAACGTACTGAAACCGCTGACTGACGAATCTAGACACAAACTACAGTCTCCTGAGAACTTTATTGACGCCATTAAGACAATACAGATAACGGACGACCACAAACTAGTGTCCTTTGACGCGAAATCGCTGTTCACCAGTATTCCACTTCAATTGGCTCTAGACTGCACTCAGAACGCTATTAAGAACTCTACTGTTGAACTACCACTACCTACAGACGACATTATGGACCTACTCAACCTCTGTTTGACTTCGACGTACTTTCAGTACAACGGCAAACACTACAAACAGTTATATGGTACAGCTACGGGCTCTCCAGTTTCTGTTGTTGAAGCAGAAATTGTCATGCAAGACATCGAGGAGCAAGCCCTAGCTACCTACACGCGAACTGTACCTCCTTGGTTACGTTACTTTGACGACACATCCACCGCCGTACACTAAGACGGAATCGACGATTTTCACGAACACCTTAACAGACAGAACGCGAACATACAGTTCACCAAGGAGATCGGAGAAAATGGTAAGATCCCTTCTCTAGACTGCTTCGTCACTCGCGACAACAACAAGCTAAAAACGACTATTTACAGAAAACCGACACATACCGACCGATTACTAGACCAGTCGTTGTACAACCCGACCTCTCACAAGGCTACTACTATCCGGACTCTGACGAGACGAGCGTAACTAGTTTGCGACTCACCTGACAGCCTACAATACGAGACTGATTATCTTAACAACGTTTTTAGTAAGAACAATTACAACACGGACTTTGTTAGACGGAACACTCACAGTAACACTGATCACAACACTCAGACCAACTCTGGCCCTGTTACGACAACAACTATACCGTACATCAGAGGCACCTCTGAAACTATTGCACGTATATTACAATCTTACAATATACGTGTTGCACACAAACCGATAACCACTTTACCGCGACTGCTTACTAATGTCAAGGACAAAGACAAACCGGAGGACAGACAGGGAGCAGTATACAAGATCAAATGCTGCGACTGCCAGGCTTCTTACATAGGTGAAACCGGCAGAAACCTAAGCACACGACTGACCGAACACAAACGCGCGACGAATAATGGTAACGGCAACAATAACATTGCTGAGCACCATTTAAAGACGAAACATCAAATTTACTGGGACTCTGCGACATGTATAACGTATTCTAGAGACTACTATCAACGTCTTACTTTAGAAAGCTGGTTTACTAACTTAGCAGAAAAATGCCACTGAATCGTAGCCAAAGGTTACCAGCGCCGTACAAACGACCTATTGACGAGATCAAGCAAAACTAACTACGAGAGAACAACTGGAGAACTGACAATTTGACTAACAATAGACGACTGTTTAACTGTGACAATAGACGGATCGAAACGCACCAATCACTGATTACGAGTCTTCATAGCCGATAACATCACGGCTTAACTGACAGACGACCAATAACATCGCGACGTAATTGACCAATCAGATCAATAACCAGAGTATAATACCATCAATTGACGTGATACAACTAACTTTGACTCTGAAGATGACTACCGCTTAGGTTGTCGAAACGTCACTCACTGTCAGCAACAACAGTCCTATTCAGGATTACGTTCACCCGGACGATCAAACTCAACTTACTTTTGTAAATAGCTATATCACGTAATTTTTAGGCTGTATATTGTAAATACGTTTTCGGATTTCCCTTTAATTCTCTATTATTTTATTCATTTTTTTCCTCGGCTTATTAGCATATTTAATTCATGCTAGTAGTCTGATAACCAACCTCATCAAACGTGGAGTTAAATAAAGCTTCATTCACTCATTTACCAAAGGTGGGAGCAAGTCCATGGAAGTCACTGATAGAGCTACTTCAGTGCAAGAGAAGTCAGCGCATGAGACATTATTATATCAGAAGCAAGATCTTTCTGACTATCTTTATAATTGGGTGTCGAAAAGAAGTGGATCTCATTTTACTGGTGGGAAGAGCGTTGCGTGACGACACAAGTACGGCTGTGTTGCAGACTAACATATGAAATGATTTCCAAAGAGACACTCGATCGCAATTTCAAATGAAACCTCAGCAGTGTTGTAAGCTCATTAAAACCTCATTATAAACTGAAAATGAAGATAGGTTAGGTTTTAAGCTATGGCTACGGTTTGCCGCATTTTCCTGTGTAGTCGCTCCTAACCTTTTTGCAGTTTTTTTCCTCTCTGCTCATTTCCCCTTCGCAAACGTAAACATATGGTGTCCCCCATCAAAGATGCAAATGAGGATATATTTTTCAGGACAAAACGAATTAGGTAAGGTTTTTTTCTCGTTACGCCGTTATGGGGTGTACTAACAACCCCTAAAAGCGATTTACGCGGGATGAAGTAGTCAGCAACCGTCATAAATTCGGATGCGCATTCCTTTCGTATTTTTCTTGGGAGTCAAGAATTGCCTTGTTATTTGGGCGTTGCCCAAATAGAGTAACCGAGATCGCTTGTTTTTATTCAAAGTTGCAATAGGCACGCAATACGTGTGAACGTAAACAAGCCAAGCGACTAGAATGTCTGACTCGCGAAACACTCGTACAAGCAGGGATGGTGGGGGAGGTGTCTCCAAGGAAATCGGTGATTCAGTCCACCTGCCAGTATGACGTCTCGTCTCGTGTCAGTGACTTTCAAAATGGCGAGCAAAATGTTCATAGAGGAGACAGATAAGAATTTCGAATTTATCACGGAAATACTGTTCCGATTTCTTGGATTTGGGGATTTTAAGGTCCCTCCTGTCATAGAAAACTAGACTTACCAGTGGTGTAATGAATTTTAAAGATTCCTTTCTATCGTCGAGCAAATGTTACGGGCAATCATACCGACCGGTCACACTTTTGAGGGCCAGTGCACAGCAAGATTGAGGAATTTAGACACAGCAATAGGAGGTTCATCAAAGGATGCACTATACTTTAAATTGTGCATATTTTCAGATCTTCAGAGCTAGTGGAACCTTATATTAATCCTTTCAAAGTTCGCTTAGCTGCAGCGTTAAAAGAGGAAGCTAAATGACAGGTATTTGTGAGAGACTGTGGACACTGAATCTTGTTGCCTTACCCCATTTTAATACTGTACTGGGCATACACTTGTAACTCTGTAATTAAATCTCGAAAACCAATAAAAAGGTTTCCTTTAATTATGTTTTGGGGGCAAACCCGGTGGAGATTTTAGGGTAATAATATTGATGATTAAGACAATGTACAAAAGATAAGTTTAAATTTCGCCAGTGGGTCACGGGTGGGTGTTGGGTGTAAACTAGTACAGTTTGTGGTGTACTGTGTGTTGTTTGTCGTGATGTCAACTTACATTGAAAAAAAATTCAGCTGTCTCAGAGGAGACGGGACATGTCTTGACAGCTTACGGTTTTTTTCTGGCCGTAAGCTTGGCCAGTATGCAGATCAAGAACTCTTGAAATCCCTTTTCCAAAATAAAACTCCCGACTTGAGCTTAAGATATATATTGATCCAAGTGCATGAGCAGCAGGGTCAGCAGTAAGAATAAAGGAAAACAGGCCAAAAGGAAAAACAGTGTTAAAAAACTAAAAGACTAAACAGAAAAAAAAATGGTACAAAGAAACAGAAAACAGCGTCGGTGGGAGTCGTACCCGGTTTATCTGCACGTGCAGGCAACTCCTTGACCACTGCTCCACAGTGACACACATGATTTGAAAAAATAATTTTGTCATATCAAAACAATTTTTCTCTGCCATAGACGCTGTCTGAAGCTGTTGGAGATGTATTTATAATGAATTCAAATATACATTTGAGGAAAATTAGCTTAAGCGCGTATTTCAAAGGTATTTCGCATTATTTTGGGTTCAACGGGCCGAGGCGATGTAGATAATCGATCGAACTAGCTTTACTGAATTTGGTGGAGAATTAGGAGATGAACAGAGGCCCACACTCGAAAGGATTGATTTGAAGTTAGGCCCGTTTAATTAGAAAAAGAAAACATGAAATATAAATATGTGTGATCTGTGAATGGAACCTCCTATTCTAGAGACTAGACCTTGCCTATTTTAGAGAAAAAATGGATTTAAGTTTTGATGACCTTGCCAGTCCCGTGAAATAGACGGCGATCCTGCATCACGGCCCACAAAACAAATTAACAAAATTATACGATTACGGACACAAAACACCTAAACTGTTTACACAAGCAGATTATAGCAACACCAAAGCTCACATACATTCCATCAAGTTAGCGATATATAGCGATATTTACTAACTTCTTAGCTTTTCCTCGACCTCGCTCGTCCTAATAACTGTCGTATCCTTTGCTAATTTGCACAAGCCACCTGAGGCTATTGCTCGTTACTATGTGATGTCATACTGGCAGGCGGAGTGGGTCAAGAAACTTAGGTGGAAAACAATAGAGTTACCTTCCCCCCTCCCCCCTGCGTACAAGGTAAAATCATGCCGGAAAGAAAGCTTCGCTAACACGGTACTTGATCCCACTGTAACGATCTCAAAAACCCTGCAAGAAAAAACACAATTCCCAACAGTGCGGGGACGAAGACATTACAAGCGATGAATATACTAAAGCAACGCAGGGATAATTTTCAATTTGGGGATAAGGTAAACTTAATCTGAAACTTACGGTATTTTTTACGTCGCATGAAAGCCGGCCGGGTTTTTTTTTCAGAAATTTGGAAGTATTAATCAGGGATTAAACCTGTCATAATAATTTGAATTTAAAACGGGTTTGGATCACACCCAAGAGTTTAGGCGATTTTCGTGCTTACTGTCAGGTGTTTGCGTACGTGGGGAATGACATCTCATTTATCATATAACAGAAAACGTGCTCTATCTGTTTTTTGACATACGATAATTCGTTTAGCCAGGTTAACTTTTTTGCTATTTTGTTTTTATCCATTCGCAATTGCTTTATGTGTTGTTTGGGTTTGAGAAGTAATAAATATTTTGGAATCTTTGGTAGTACTAAATATTGAAAATCGGCTGAGGAATTGACGGGTTTGGCTTATAGCAACATTAAATGCTGCATAATTCATTGCATATGTTCGGAAAGGAGGTGATTTGTTAAAATCTTATTGAGCAAAGCGAACCCGTAAACAAGTTTCATTCTTTCACGTTCGAACCATTAAAGGGGCAAAGTCCAACATCTTCACGTGCAAACTGCGTAGGCGACAGTTATTTTTAACACCATTGGGTTAATTAGATTAAATCGATTTCTCTTATACACGAAAGCGGCAAATTCTAAAGCTTTCAAGTGCAAACTGCATGACAGTGCAACTCGGCGTGGCTGGCCCGGTTTGTCACGCTGGATAGCTCTGCGGAGGTGACTTTTACCCCAGTATTACATGAACCGGACCAGCCCGAAGCCTTCATATGTATATAGAGATTGGAAGTAGTGTGCATGATTAGTGTGTTACCCGCTGTCCTGTTTCTCGCTTA